AATCCATCATAAAATTAGTTTTGGCTGCCACAAATGCAACGAGCATTAGATTTTTTAACCAAGATTATGATAAAGTTAAGCCAAGCGTTGGAAGAGTGCTCCATTTGTGATATCAGAATAATAAGAAATATATGTAGGAGGTACCTTTGTATACGTAGTAGGTGGTGGATTGTATAAATATTAATTTAGGGAATTACCTCTAGGGTTATGCACTGGGCAGGCAATGCCAACTGAGGCGATGGACAGGCGGTAAAAAGGGTGGATGTCAATGGATTGGATGGGTGATGTGGGTCAGACACGCTATTTGATGGCAGCTCCAACCAAAATCTTAAAGCAACAAGCTTGGGGAATTTCGGGGAAAATTTATGGAATAAATAGTTGAAGGGTAAAATATAAAGGAATTTTAAAAATACTTATAAAAAAATTAAAATTTGAATAATATTTAAATAAAATATAACTTGAATAACACTGAATAATATTCTTCCCATTTGAAATTAAATTTTAAACTTTTAAAAACCTTTAAAAACTTACTCTTCTCTCACACTGAAAACCTTGACCCACTCAAAAAGTCAAAGCCCAAAGTTGACCTCACTTACCCGACCCCAATTCCGACATTTATCCAACCTCAATTTCTTCAATATTCGGATATGGCCCTAAAGTATCCCCTCTGCCCCCCTTTTCAATTGAAAAACACCCCTGAGAGAGAAGGCAATACCGTCTTCATGTTGCTCCATGCATAATAATAATTCGGTAAGGGCCCAAAGCCCAAAGTCAATCTAATGAAAATCAAATAAAATAACTCTGAGCTTTTTGGAGGGGAAAGGAGGGGATACCGAAGGTCTAACGAGTATTTTCCATATTTTACAACTTCCCAAGAAGAGGAAATAACAAAGGAACTTTATTAGGGAGCGGGAGGCCCACTCACAGAGAACTCAAGCTGGCAGGCCGGCTAATTTCGGACTTAATTTAGGTGACTCTGTCACTCGTTCCTCTCCGCTGGCCAATTCTCCACTTTGGGCCATAAGCAATCGGCAATCGTATTATTGGCATTATGACCAAACCAACCCAAACCCACTCTACGCCCCCCAGGCAATTTGAACATCCGCCTACGACATTTTGATGGAGGCGCCTAAAACTCGACAAATGCCGCCTGCAGGAAATATTAAAGCTCAAATCGACAACAACGACTAAACTTGGGGGTCATAAATGGACGGTGGATCGCCAATTGTCATTGGTCACGTGCGGGTTAAGGGAGGGGAACTCCACTTTGTTGCCGTTGTTATTTGAAAATATAGAAATAAAGGGAGCCAAGACAAAAGCAACAAAGGCAAAAAAATCAAAGAAACATTTTACGACAATTGCTGTTGCTGCTGCCCGTTGATGTTGCTGCCGTGCATGTTGCTGCTGTACAAATTGCTGCTGTTGTTGATGGCGTCGTTTCAGTCATTGGCAATTTGTCGTCAGCAATTGTTTGTTGGGCTGTCGTTCAGGTGTTGTATTTTCCTTTTTTTTGGGTGGGAATCCACTTACATTAAATAGTTTCATTTATAGATACTACTTTTTTCTTCTTTGTACCCCTTTTCTGTGAAGATTGCAGCGTAAACATATCTAATTTGATTTATTTCCTGCAGTATGGTCTCTCGTTTTGTTATGCTTCTCGTTGGCGCCAAACAAAAAAAGCTTCAAAGATCTCACACTGGGTTTTCGAGGGGCTTTCGCCTATCAATTTTCCAGGGACCCCGCAGCGTTGGGCCATACAAATGATCTGAATAATTACCTCATCGACAGGGAGCCAGAGATCGGGATCACTTGAGGCGATTGTCAAAATATTTTCACAGTTGCAGGCAAAACAAATAAATAAATAAATAATCGGGAACAACGAAATGGATGCGCTGGCTGGGATTTAAACGGATGACTGATTGACTGGCTAATTGCCCGGGCACTTGGCCTGGTCCATTATTTGTTTTCATAAAAGTTCTAAATGAGCTTAGCGAATGGGGCTGCCGCCGCGGGGATGCAATGAATGCAATGGGGAAACTCAATGCAGAGAATAAATGCATTTTCCCAAATGGAAAATCGCTTTTATATTCAATGCGCTTTTTTCTTTGCGTTTTATACTTTCAGCCAGCACGGATTATTTTTTAGATTCCACTATTTGTTTTATGCGAGCTTGGATTAAATGGATTAAAGCGTATTCTATAAACATGGCCTTTAAAGACTTTGTGAATAAAAATGATTATTAAATCTGTCAAATTTAAAGGTTTTGAGAAATCAATTAGATAACATCTTTATTACTTTTGTGGATACTTCCCTTGTTTTTTATTTTATTTCTCCGAATTGCCACAGAACTATAAATTTTATTCTCTGACTTGAACTGTGAACTGATGGGAAATATGGGAAAAGGGTAATATTCCCTAGGCAACATTAAAAACATGAATATTTTATTAGCCGTTTCCAAGAACACCAAACAGAGAAACATTGAATATGACACATAATTCCATATTCCACGAACCTGAATGAATTTCTGGGGCTCCCCCCGCTCAGTTCCTAAATTGAGTGCCACGGAAACCAGAATTAGTTCTGCGGCATAACGATCTCCATCAGTCGGAAATGTATGTATTTCATTTCTCCGAGAAGGAACAACTTGGCCCTATCATGTTGACGCCCACTTAAAGTGGCACAATTATGAGGCGACAACATCGGACGCGGAACACACAACATCTTGAGGCGGTCTCGCGCCTCAATTCGTTGCGATCCGCTTAATTATAGAATACACGATGCGGGAAATTTGTTGCACGCACCATTAGCGACCAAATGTCCGACAGTCAGCCAACAGATCCAGCTGAATTTGTCAAAATATTGCCGCGCCAATAAAAATAGAAAATGGAAAATCGGAAAATGAAAAAAACACTGAAAGGCACTTCTGTCACACTGGGCGATCATTCAATCAATATATCACGGGGAGTGACAATAAATCTTTTCAGAGGCCCCGGCCCCCCATTTTAATTTCCGACGAGCTTCGGAAAAGTCGGACAAAGATCGAGGGGGATTGCAAAAGTTCAGAGTCATTCCAATGTGTGTGAACATTTGCTGCACCGACTGCAATTAGCAATTTAACTCTTCTGTTACTCATTTCGGAATTCGCCGCCTAATCACTTTGATCTGCTGACCCAAATACAAATCCCATTTCGGAGCCATAACAAATTGCATTTGGCCCCAATGAATTATATCATTCATCCGATTACCAATTGCTTAAATTTTATTTTATTTCCATGGCGCCTCGCCCTTTGGACTCCTCCTCTCGAACATCGATACCCCATTCTCCGGCCACTTGGCCCCTAATTTATTTGAGTGTGTTTATGCATATCGGCCGAGGATTTCGATTGCCTAATGTTAATGGCAAATGTTACTTATGGCGCTCGGAAATCCGGAAATGCCCACGAAATCAAGCAGAAAATGGGAAACACACTTTCGGATTTTCGGGATTGGGAAATTCTTGCAATCCACACGAGTGGAAAACTCATTAGAAGAATTTATTAATTACAAATCGGAAACAGTTTGTTTTACACATCACAATCACTATAAAATGTATGGCTAAAATAGGGTAATTTTTAATTCCATAATTTTGTATTATCCATTGCGCATATGGCAATAATAAATATTTCCCTTTTCATACGCCTTTTTTAATCGTTATAAAATGCCCATTAATCGAATAGAAACGCATTAAAATAATTGAATTTCAGTTCAAATAAACAGGAAGAGCCAGTCGAGTCAGCAGTGGGAGGTACATAGCTAATCTAGATAAATATTGATTAGTATTTGGAAAGGCATACACAGCGATTCCCCTTGGGGGGCTAAACCCCATAATGTTACAGGGAGATCTGGCAGAGGGGGTTCCACATATAGGCACGTACGACACGCCCTTTAATGCTTTGGACGTTGTTTCTGTTGGTGTTGCAATACAAAATATGGAAAATATAATTTGTATAATTACATTGCCTTTTGATAATACCAAATACATACCAATCAACAACAACAACAATACACATGGGCAAAAATGGTGTCTAAGATGTTCGCGGGGGGCCCTAAAGACAACACCCTGAAATGGTGAGGAGTAAAATAGTTAGGTTCGGTTTTAATAATTAAAAATATGTTTTCAAAAACTTTGTTAGTTAAATGAAATGGAAATGCTAAGAAATTTATATATCTGTATTATCAATAAAAATGCATTTTATTCTGGGAATCTGTATGATTTAAATGATTTAAATTAATATAATTAAATTAAAATTATTTAATGAGCTTCGTAGGCACAAAAATAGTTTTTCAAAAATCCTATTTTGATACATAAAATATAAATATAACTTTTAATATATTTGATATCACAAGTTCAACTTAATAGCTATCAATAAGCCTTGATTAAACGGCTTGTTCCGTGTCACGCGTCCATCTCCAAAGGGCGACGACTAATTGAAGACCGCTCCGCCCCCCATTTTGCCCCCTCATACCCCCTTTTACCCCCCTCTGGGCGGCGGCACGCACAGCGCGGTGCCATCGCATCGAAATAGATGTCGCCGTTGGCTGAACCTCACCCAAATCGACCTGGAACCCGGTCTATTCGGAATTGCGGTGAAACGTGCCCGCGGAGGCGCCACTCGCTGCGCCGATGATGTCTCCATGTCGGAATCCGCACAATGGAATTGGATGGAATGACCGCTTGGCGCTTGAACCCTTTCAGCGAATGGTCTTTATCATCAAAGGGAAATCAAGCTGTCAGTCAATTTATAGTTGTAGCGCGCGTAAACAAAGGACGGAACAGGCAGCGATGTGGCGATAGGGCCAGGTCAGAGTTCACATATTTCAATTAAGGGGAACCACAAAAGCGGTTTCGATAACACCTAGGGCAAGCTGAACTTCCGAATTGAACAATTTTAAACGCAACAGCATACAAATCTGTATAGAACCTTGGCAAATAATAATTTAATTTATTTCTTTATTTGCAGGACCTCTGTCTGAAATTTTAACTGCCGTGGGTTCGGAGGTGGCTCTGCCCTGCGATCTGCTGCCGGGAACAGGAATCACTGATAAGGCACAACTGGTCATCTGGTATCGCCAGGGAAATGTCAAGCCCATCTACACGTAAGTTGAAAAATTCTAGACATTTTTGTCTTATACACACATAGTTATAAATAAAATATGTTAATTTTGCAACTCATTTATCCTGAGATTTCATCCAAAATTAAACCTCTCTCTTCTGCCTTTTTTGGACTTTTTCGCGTAGTCTCCTTCCTTACAAAATCCTTTCTAAATCTTCCTAAAGCCTTCTTCATCTCATCAGCCAATTTGGCAGCCTCATCCATTTTGGCGACTTATATTTCCCTTGTATATATTTTAAAACCTTCGCCACTTCTCACTCTCCTGGGATTGTTTCACAGTAACGCCCCGCTAAAGTGTCAGCTAAATGAATTTCACTTAATGATTTTACCAGGGGGTAAACCCTGCGTTGAGCTCGTTCTTTTTTTTTTTTTTTTGGAATTAGCCAAGGACCCGAAATGAATTTGGTTTCGATACCGTTGGGAATGGCAGCCAATTATAAAGAAACTCCCGGTGTTGAGTGGAGCAGGGGGCGGTTGTTGGAGGGGCGTGGCACACACAAATCCATACAGAGGCAGCCAAAGTAGGCGCTAGCTCATTATAAATTCTATTAACGTGGGGCATTTATGTTGAATTTGACGATATAAACATTACTTACACAGAACAACCTACGTGTGGTGGGGAGGGGTGCCCAAAGTTATGTGGGTGGGGTTAAGGTAAGAAGTCCCACCCCCTCTACACCGCGTTATTAGCACTGAAAAAAAATTCCAGTAAAATTAAGAAATTTTCTGCATCATAACTTAAAAAGAATTTTTAATATGTTTGTATACAATCGCTCTAGTTTATATCTACAGATTATACATATTTTCTCTTTCTAAAAAGTTATTTTATTATTCAGTAGTAGCTCTAATTTTTCCTGAGTGCCTAACTCGGTACGTTAGCAATATTTAACAAGCTCATAAGGGAGAAGCAAGAAAAATAGGAAACATTTTGTGAGGCAGTGTGCCAGGAAATGTCGCAAGTAAAATGGGCGGCAAGGAGGTTGTTCTGGCAGATGGGTAATATATATATAACCATATAGACTGACTGATTGGCAGCAGCAATTCTGCTCAAAAATCGCTCGTTGGCAACTCACTTTATACTTTTTCTATTTTTTGCGATTTTCCTGGAAAAGCCAAGATGGAAAATGCGGGGAAAAGAAAGGGAGGGGGTCGACTGCCAGGTGAAGTCGAGTGGAGTCTCAAGTAGACAGATGCGCAATAGACCAGAAATTGAATTTTATTTCATTTTCCATTAAATTCGTTCGTCTGTTCTCGGGGCACACAAATCGATGATGTCAAGTCAAAGTGTCAAAGTTCGGTGCCGGGGAATGTGCACTCCTGTGGTCGCTCTTCGGTACAGTGTGCCCTCCATTGCAATTACCATTTGGGGAAGGGGAGTGGCAGCACTTTTTACGACCGCATAAAGTCGAGGTTTATGCAGATAGAAGCTCCTCTGGCATCTCCGCTTCTCGCCCGCATTTCTTTATTGTTTTCCATCAATTTTAATTTGCTTTTCCCACACTTCATAAATTTTCCCGCTTGGCGTTTGTTGCTTTACTGCACACGTTCTGTTCTGGCTGGCTGGAAAATTTCAATATGGCCAAAAGGCTGGCAAAGGTCGAGAGATTAATTGCATGAGAAATTTGTTTTCCAATTGCCATGGATTACCCGTGGATAACCTCTTGTCTCCCTGTCACTCCATTTCGGCTCTCACTCGCATTTCTACATAATTTAATTATGTTCGAAATCCATTAACAAATATCCCATCCATCTTGTGCCACTTACTCCTGTTCTTTTGGGTTGGGTTTTCTGCTTTTCGAGTGCATTTCTCAAATGTGTTTGTGCTTGGAGCTTTGCCTAAATGATAAATCATCTAAAGTGCAGAATGAGGCCTATGATCTGTTTGAAAAGTGGGATAATCTTGGGGAAAGTCGATTATGGCACTTAATTGAAGCTTTGCTAAATTGATTTAAATGATTTCATATTTAATAAAATGCATGGTTAATTTTAATCAACAAAATCAAACTAAAATTCACCATGTTCCCGCAGAAAGCTATTAGGAAGAACCCTTAATCTTATTTAGACAAAATCCATAGATCTTCTTTTAAAAACCAACACAGATTTTTCTTCATAACTCACAGACAACGTTAAATTCTTCCATGTGCTTTTTATCGCCCCAATACTCCAGGGAAAAATTTAAATGCTTTGTGGGCTCTTTAAAGCTACTTAAAAAGTGCCACAAAGAACAAAAAGAATTTAATTCGTTTCAAAAACAGAGTGATATAAAAAATTCAAGGAAATACGAAAATACAAAAATAAAATGGTAATCCGCTTAAGCCAAAAGGGAAACAGAACAAGCGCTAAATTGATCAATTAATTAATTGAAGTGAACTATAAAATGAAAATGGAAAAACACGATTTTGTGGGCTGACTGGGCGTGTCACTTTGAGGTCGTAGCAGGGCATTAACATAAATAGCAAAAATGTGTTTCTGGTTTTTTTGCAAGGCCTCTCCCCTCCTCCAACGAAAAAGGTCAAACGAAATGCTGGACAAAAAAAGAACGAAATGAAAAATCAAATTAAAAGCTTGAAACCAATTTAAATGTGACCATTTAAAAATGCTAAAAAATGTGGAGATAAAAAGCGAGAGCAAATGAAAATCAAAAGTTCTGTAAATGCATTTTACGATCCCCGATTTCAGATTTCAGAGTGTGGGGCCTTTGGGCTCTGCTGTGTGCTATGCTGACATTTAATGCGGCACTTTGTCAAAATGCATTGGACAAAACCATAAAACAAAAACGTTTGCCCATAACAATAAAAACAAAGTTCTTTTTCGGCCATTCATGCACTCTATCTATCTCGGTCCCCTTCCCCGGATTTTGTAGTCCATGCGGCTGAAAATAGTTTAACCCAAGGGAAAGCTAATTAAGTATTCCGCTTTTAGTGGATTCCCTGGATTTGACACACATTTCGGTAGCCGATGTTGTCTCAATTGTTTGGACAATAAAATCAATGAACCAGGTTAACACAATTCGGCTTATCAAGGCCCTGGTAATTGAAGGTGTGTGGGGTTGTGTTGTCTATGGGTGAAACGTGTCAAAAGGGTTTTTCCATGGGGAACTCAATTTTATGTGACACTAATTGCCGGGGGAGTGGGGGAAAAGGTTATATTTATGACCAGGCTTTGTCTGGCTATTTTTACGGATGAAAATAAGTTCTATATAAAAATAACAATCTTATTTTAGAGAATATTACCTAATACAACTTTTATTTTCATTACAGCTATGATGCTCGAGGTCGTCCCTTGGAACAGGGCATTCCCTGGGCAGACGAAAGTGTCTTTAACAAGAAGGCCCACTTTCAGCATGATACGAGTCCCCCTGTCCTGAGGATTAAGAACATCCAAACCTCGGATGCCGGACTCTACAAGTGCCGTGTTGATTTCCACAGGTCACCAACCCGTAATTGGCGTATTAATGTGACAGTGCTAGGTGGGTTTTTAATATTTTATATTTTATTTGATTTTATTTTATTTAATTCCAATCCCTACTTCCCAGTGCCACCCACTCAACTGACCATCCTGGACCATCATGGCGCCGAGATACGGGACCAATCGGCAGGACCTTATTTGGAGGGCGACAGCATCGACTTAACCTGCCTCTCCAGCGGCGGAGTTCCTCCTCCGCGGGTCTCCTGGTGGCGGGAACACGCCCTGATCGACGACTCCTTCCAGGTCCTGCCCGATGGCTCCGTTCGCAATGTCCTGCGCATCAAAAACATCCAGCGGAAGGATCTGCTAACGGTAAGTCATCCACCTCTTTGCTGGAAGGGGAGGGGTCTTTTGGAGTGTTTGCTCCAAATATCGTAAGCCTTATTTACGACTCTAGCACAAAGCACCTTCTGGTACAATGCTCTGCCCATAGTTTTCTGTTCTCCAACAGTGCAGCCATTCGAATGCCACAGGCAGCCAGCTTTGGGAAATAAATAACAGCACCTATAAATATTTTTTTAAGCAAGAGCAAAGCATTATTCTTGTAAACTGAATTTAGAGCTTTATCTTTAAGACTGCGGGTGTTTTTAAAACGACTATTAAATGAAATATTCTTTATTATATTTTTGTATAGTAATATATGTTGTCAGAAAATTATTTATAAATATTTATTATTTTCTAAAACTTAGAATCTTTTAAAGTGGATTACATTTTTTAATTTTGAAAAGCCTACTTGCCTAAGAATTTTTCATGAAGTTTATACCGGATTTAAATTGTCTATAAAATAGCCAGCTTCTCTGTTCTGGCTCTCACCCCTTGGTGGCCAGTTGGCCATTTATTTTCGGCCGCTCACAATGGAGGACTTTGGTCCGTGGGCCTCCGTTAATGACAGCGCTCCGTGCGGCAAGCGGCCGGCATACAATGGCTAATAGAAATCAAATGCAACTGGCTGCATTGGGAATTGTTCCCTGGGTGGTTTGAGCGGCTTAACCTCACCCTCTGTCCGTGAGAATCCCCTCCCTATGGAGATGGAGAGCACCATCGAGAACTCCCTCTTATATGCTCTTTTGGTTGATTCTAAGCCGGATTTTTCTTTGGTCCGTGTAATGAACATTATTGTTGGACAGCGCTAATCCCGCCATTCAGAGCTCGGTTTCCGTTCAACCAGCTTCCAGTTCACCAACAAATTGTGAATCGGTCAGGCTTTTGTGTCCTAAACGAATGACTGGAGTGGAATCACTTGAGTGTTGTTCATGTAATACCAAAAGTTATTAGCTTAGAATAAAGAGATGAATTGGGGCGGCGGTTTCAATGGATTTTTTAAGTCAAGTGGATCTCAATTTATTTAAATTGTGTACTTATTAAATTAAATATCGCAAAAAAGAAAAAAGTTTGCAAGGCAATCAATATTTATTTTTACCCATTAGCATAACAGCATAAACTTATTCACGCAGAAAAATTAAAAATATATAAAATACTTAATTATCCGATTAACAGAGGCGTCCAAAGCAGCATATATTTTCCATTAAAAGTGGAACAAGCAAATAATACAAAATAAATTAAATCTATAATATCTTAACAGTTATTAAAACCGATAATGCTGTGCAGTAGGTAAACTACCCGGATTAAATGTCGAAAATCAAGTTAAAGCGCGTTGTGGTTATGAATTGTGGCCATTGTTCGCGCTTCTGCCAATTGATTTAAATTCAATAGCTCAAAAACCGTTCGAGGCCATAATAAACACCTCGCAGAGTATCAGTGACACTTCCCAGTCGATAGAACTCCCTGGAGACCCCCATGCCTGCCCCAACAAGAGACCCAAGTATCTCCACATAACGTTGGATATTCTTGTGTAACCGAATAGAAATTTATGACCTAATTTTCCAATCGAAACGAGACTTGCGGTGCGGCGAACCCAAAAGTTATGCAAATATTTTTATTGCCCGACAGCGTTACAGTTTTCCTTTGGCCCAATAAAATGTCCGAAATGTATATGGTCCCAAGAAGTATCGCATTACCAGGCGGCAGCGGGGGAATTTATGATATTGATACTTGCAACTCGCCAACCTTTTGAACTCTTTGTGGTTGGTCTCTAAGTTTCCCTGTCTCCATCTGAGGGCATAATTGATTAGTCTTTATGGGTAGCTTTTTTCTCGATATCGGTATACCAGTACCAAGCTGCGTGTTCGATCCACATTTCCCGCAATTAAAATTAAATGTTCAGCAGGTTGATTTATCATCGATACCTGGCCCTGACCCAAGCTCCATATTTTACTGTTCTTATTAGTAAAAGGCAATTATTGTAATGAGCATAAATCATCGGGTTTCATTATTGTTTCTTGTTTCTACCTCAATTCCAGATGTACACTTGCCAGGCGACCAATGGCCATGTGGTTGCAGCGCTGACCAGGAAAGTTATCCTCGACATGAATCGTAAGTACCTAACTTTTGGAAATGGAATAAAATCAAATAGAATTAAATAAAATAAAAGAGAAGCTCTGAATAAAATGCACAACTATTAGGTACACTTTGTATAATTTTTGCGGCCAACCAACACACACGCACAGTTCAAGGTCAGCTTTTAGGATGCCATCCGTGGAATAAGCTGTGGCTTATTGTTTCTGTTTTAGCCTGGTGGGCGTGACATTTTCATGGAAATTAATGTAATTAAAGTTTTGTCATGCCGCCGCAAGGACGCACTACCACTCGCATATTCACATCCACATCCATGTATTTATGGTTTTTGCCGGTGGTTTCCAGGTGGTTCGGTCCGCTATGCTAATCGCATTGCGGGTCCCTCGAGTGGGGCGGGCCATCCAGTGATGGGCATAATAAAATGTGTCATAAATAATGAACATTTCCATAAAGGTTGGTTATAGATGAGCAGGAAATTAAGCGAGATCCTTGGAAGCGAAATTGGCGCGTTGTCCTTGTGTGGTAATAACTGAATTTCACCATGTTAATCAGGCTTTATATGGACATGTTGCAGCTATATTAGATTATCCTAATGGGTTGTAGTATTTAATTTAAGATGGTTCCTTAAATACTTCAATTTATTACCTACTTTTGTTGACCAATCAAAAATTAATTTGCGTGTCAGCGATATCATAGTTATTTTATTAAAAGCGTAGATAAAATCAGTGATTAATGGGTTTGGGAAACGTTTTATGACACAAATAGAAAATAATTAGATATGATAAAAATCTAATTGAATTATTGTTATTTTTCGCGACAGTTCCCCCGCTGAGTTTACTTCTGCAAGGACTAAATCACGCCGTAATTGCTGGAACCCGAACCCATGTAACTTGCACGGCGATAGGAGCTCGACCTCCGCCAGAAATTATTTGGTCAAAGGCGGGTCAGATTGTACGGGGAGCCACGTCATCGGTGAGTTTTGAGTAACAAGGAATTATAATCGGGTAGAGATCTCAATATCGCTTTTCTAATAGACCTCCTCGGATGGAAATACAACCATTTCGGAACTTATGCTGATACCCGTTCCCGAGGATAACGAACGACAGGTGGTCTGCTCCGTTTCGCTAAATCCGGGGATTACTTCCCAGCAACTGCATGAGGGTCACACCACGGTGATGACCACCCTGGGAAATGGACACACAGGACTGTATCTCAAGGATTCCAGGGTGCTAAATGTGACACGTAAGTTGTACTTACAGATGGGAGTTTATCAGCTTATATAGCTAAATAAAAAATGTTATGTAGATGCACCAATTGTCAACCTTAATCTGGGAGCCCCCCTAGACCCGGAAAACCTTCTCAAAGGCACCGACGTCTATTTGGAGTGCGATGTAAAGGCGAATCCCTCGATTACCCGAGTGGAGTGGTACCACAGTGTGAGTACAAGAAATAATTTTAACCCCGCCATAACAAAGTCCTGGAATTTAATCTAATTACATGAAAAACCCAACACAAACTCCTCGCTGTAACCACTAATTGAATAATATTTGCAATCCTTTCTTCCTCCCTTCCCCAGGACAAGCAACTTCACTCCTCCCGTGGCATCATCATCTCGAACCAGACCCTCGTCCTCCAGGGCATTTCCAAGTCCTCGCATGGCCAGTACTTCTGCAGGGCCAGCAATCTGCAGGGCAGTGTGTCCAGCAACGAGGTCTACTTGGATGTGAAGTGTAAGTGCCCTACAACACACTCACTTAACTTTAGCACTTGAGTTTTGCACAGCTAAAAAAATATATTTAAATATTTTATCATAAAATTTAAGCTTTGAAATACATGATCATGAATTACAGTAAATTATAAAGTTTATCTTCGTATAAAAGAAAATATTTTCTTGAAGGATTAAGTTATGAATATATTTTAAAAATATTTAGGAAAGAATTTAAAGATAGTTTTATACATTCAGATTAATCCCGAATTTATTTATAACCTCTCATTATTTTTCCCTGTGCATCTCTCCAGATCCGCCCGTTTGCAAGTCGGAGTCGACGATTATTCGCGCCGCGCTCAAGCAGACAATCAACATCACCTGCGAGGTGGACGCCAATCCACTCGATAATCTAAATTACAAGTGGCACTTCAACAACTCGCTGGAGAGCCTCATCGAGCTGCCCCAGCTGCAGGCGGGCCCGGGGATCGGGATGAGTCCGGTGATGCTGGCCTCCGGATCGGATTTGAGCGGCGGATACTATCAGCGGAGCAAGCGGAAGCACTCGCACGGAATGCAGCAGCGCCTGCTCCACGGAAGGCACGGTCGCATGGCGGCCGTGAGGTTCGAGGACGAGGACGAGAACGACGGCTACGGGGAGTTCGAGGAGTACGGCGAGGAGGTGGGCCAGCCCTTCACCCAGATGGTCTACTCCAACATGGTGCACAAGAACCACGTGGAGAACAGCAAGCAGCAGCAGCGGAAGCAGCTGTCTCCCCAGCAGCAGCAGCAGATGCCATCCGGCGGTTCGTCCGGAGACATCCACCACGGCTCCTCCTCTTCGTCGTCCTCCTCCTCCTCCATTGGAGGCCTTCAGCTGGCGGAGCGCAAGCGTTTGGCCGCCCTGCACAAGCAGCACCATCGAGGAGGCGTGGTCACGCCTCCCACCACCACCTCGGCGCCCCCGCTGAACAACGTGTACAGCTACCACGTGGAGAGCTACGAGAGCTTCGGCGCCATTTCCTGCGTGGCCAGCAGTCCGATGGGCCACAGTCCGCCCTGTTGGTATCACATCCAGCCGGCAGGTGAGTGAGCAGGACGACAGTCCGAGAGATACAGAGTGCCGGGGAGCCAGGAAATCAGATAGAACGGGGTGACTTTTGATACCCTTTCGGAGGTTTGGTTTATAAAACTACGCAGCAGGGGTTACTGTCTATATGCGTTCGAACCCTATACATATTTCTAGGATAAGATTTGGTTTTAGACATACATCTGTTTTGGAAATATAGTTTACCATTTCTAAAACATAAATAAAATTAATACAGATATCAAAGCTAGCCCCTTGGATTTTTTTCTTGTACTCCGTTTGATTGACAAGCAAATTTTAAATTTTTAACATAAAACAAACCATAATTAATTGTTCAGATTATTATTTTGTTTTGTTGTGTGTTAAAACCAAAAGTGATTAAAAAAATACAAGCTTAACTAAATCTTTTAATACTAAACGGAATTTGAAGCTCAAAATAATTGACTATAGTTATTTGGTGCATTTTAAATTGGAATTAAAATATTTTATAAAAAAAATGCGTATATTTAAATTGTGAATAAAAGTTAATACTGATTTAAAATTTGTAAGGTTTGAAAGCAAATTAAAGTATACTAAATTAATTTAGTTTCTAGGAAATTCGAACATAGAACAAGGCAAATTTAAACCAAAGGTTAACCACCGGTTAAAGTCTTGACTGCTCTCCTTTCGAAAGGGTATGGGAAAAAATTTAATTAATTTCAGATCGAGGCGGCGGGCAAGAGCAAACGGCAAACATGTTGACTCGATTCGGCTGCTGGCTGTTGGCTACTGGTTGTTGGCCTGGTCAGTAGATAATTGTGGCACGCAGCACGTACGGATGGAAAATGGAGAGTGGCAACCGGCGAGTGAATCTCTGAACGTTATTTACATTTCGCCGGACGCCGGGCGAAGTTGCCTCCTGGCAGGCGGCAATTTAACGCGTTGCCCGACGGTTGTCACGGGGTGGTAGATCCTGTTGGCCCAAAGACAGCAAAGCAGCAGAACGGCAACACCAACAGCAACAGCAACATCCACTTGTCCGTCCGACAATCGCCCGGTTTTGTCCCTGACAGCAATAAAAGCCATGTTTACCAACGCCATCTGCATGTTTGCCTGGCCGCCACTGTTGCAACTACTGCAATCTGTGTGCGGCCCGATAATCTGATAATCAAATGCAATAAATTGCCAGGGTACATCATTTATTTATAAAACCTCCGTTGACCATGGCCCAAAAACATGCGACAATTTTGGTGCGTTTGCTGCAGGAGAAAGACTTGAAAGGATATCAGGGAAAGTGTTATGGTTATAGGAAACTATTGAAAATTGAGATAGGAGGAAATACTTTTGGATTAATAAATTTAAGGGTCATTAAAGCCAGAAAATTATCTGAAACAATAATAATAATATCTTAGAATTTAGAAATTTAACTTACACAATAGTAAACATTTATGATTTTTGTAATTTTTCTTTATCAGATCTTCCCGAACCAGTTAAGAACTGCACGGCTTTCAATGCGACGGCCAACTCACTGCAAATCCAGTGCATTCCCGGCTACGATGGCGGCATTCCACAACACTTTCACGCCCAGATATACGACGAACTGAACCGCCAGATCCTGTACAATGCCTCCTACAAGTATGCGGAGTTTACGGTAAAGCGTCTGCCTAGCGACTCGGTGTTCGTCATCCGGATAACGGCAGTGAATGCCCAGGGACCCAGCAAGGTGGCATATCGTCTGCGAGGACGCACGCTTTCGGCACCTTTACTGCGGACAGGTGAGTTTGGGGATAATCAGGGAATCAGAGATGCAAATTTGGCCATACGAGGGAAACAGATTATAGGGAATTGAAAAATTGAATTTTGTATTATTTCATTATAGCTACAATATTCCTAAAAAAAAGTACTTGAATTTTTAAACCAAATATTACCAATATATACATGAAATATTAAAGCAATTTGTAACCGGATTATAATTATATTTATTGAAATACAAATTTAATCAATTCCCTTTATCTAAATGGCTTTCAAAAATGGCAAGCAATACTTTGCCATTAATGTGTATATTTTATTTACCCCTCTGTCTGTTTTAATTGGCCTTATTTGCTTTGCTTTGTCTCTCGAACGAGGGCAGCACTCTCGGCAAATAGGTTCATTGTTCGCGTTTTGTCATTCAATTTTTCACCATTTCCCCCCATTTTCCGCGATTTCCACAGCCTCATCGACGGCGGTCCTCGTGCAACTGACACCCCTGCTGGGCGCCCTGGTCGGCGTGATTGCCACACTTATCCTGGTGGCCATTTGCGTGGTGATCGTTATCAAATTCCGGAGCAAGCGGGGCGGCAGGCGGCATGGGAACGGGGCCGATGCCACCACCACGGAGGCGGACAAGGGCAGTGCCGAGCCGCTGTCCCGCAACATGGGCAGCCACTCCAGCCTCGAGGACAAAAATCCGGATGTGGTGCCCCAGGAGGCCAACAGCGAGGACGAGTTCCACCAGGAGGAGAAGGCCTTCGACCGATTGAATATGGAATCGCAGCGGATTTTGTACACCCCGCCGACGCGGATTAACACCGCCTCCCCGCCGCCGCCCTCGCTGTCGCCCACATTTGGCAAACAGGTGAATATGTGTGCTTTTCCTTTCGATTTTTCGATTCCTGGCTTCAGCGATACCATTTCAATTTTGCATATTGTGAATGGTTTATGCCAGAAGAGAAAACAATAAAAAAAAACAGTGGAATGTTGCCTACATTTTGGCTGTGGATTTAAAAAAAGAGACTTTCATTTTCTGTGATCCAAAGTGGGGTTTTAGGGGCCCCAAATGGACTCCATTAATAAAAACAACATGTTTTACAATTATTTATTGTATTATAAGTTTATTTTTTATAATAATGTCCGATTAGGCTTTATTAGGATGTATGGTTTTTTCAGTTCATCTATATAATATCAAAATTTACACACTTTTTGGCTTCTATTTATGTTTTATTATTAAAATATCCAGTTTATTGCATATTCTATCTGTACATATTATATCACTTAAACTGAGTTCCATACCTATAAAGTAATTTTTAATAAAAATTTTTTATTATTATGACCCAGAAAAGTTACCTCCTCAAGCAACGGCATTTCAAGTTTCGATCTCGTCCTTTCCTTTTCATTTTTGCCGCCAATTAGCCAGAAACCGTAAATAAATTACACAAATTAGTTTCGTTGTTTTCCGCAACAACAACAAGTTGCTGGCCCAACAAAACTTTTCCTCAGTGTCCACATCCAGTACCGTTTTGCTTAAATTTTTATCATTGTTTGGTTTTTGTTTTTTTTCCCCTTGTTTGAGGTTTGGTGGAGAGGAGCGGCATCAAATTTTGATGAGCAAAATGCCAGTTGACGACAGCAAAAGTTCAAAAATGTTTAGCTTTTGTTTAGCTTGGCTTTTTTGTAAATTTCTGTTGGTCTGTCGTCCCTCCGAGTTGAGAGTTCGAGTTCGTAACAAGCTCATTAGAAGTTCCTGGTGTTTGTGTGGGTCAGTTGGCGAACTTTTCGATTAAAAATTGTTTTTGTCAGCGTTCGTCATAAATGTTGAATCGAAAAGGTTTGGGGAAAGTCCTTGTGAAAGTTAAAGCTCGAAAATTGCGGAGCACAAAGGGGAACTGATTATAAATTAAGCAAAAATTAGTTCACTATTGCAAGTGGGAAATGTAATTACTAGGTGTTGGCTTGTTTGTGAAATTTTTTGCAGTGATATTTGGCTTAATGAAATCACAAAATATTTTTTACCTGTGAAAACAGTTGGAAGTTTAAAAGGTTTTATAAATATAATATATTTTTTCATGGTTTAATTCGAATGATATAAATTAATTATTATAAGTGATTAGGTATTTTAGTTATTTTAAATATTTATATTAAGAAAAAGATCAAAAAATTTTAAAAATATAGAATTCATTAAAAAAATCTACAGTGTATGATTTTAGTACCTACTTTAATTTTAATTAATAAATTCCCATTTTTTTCTACTCCTACTTTTCCAGTACGGTGAACTCTCGCTAACCACGAACCCTGCCTTCAGCCTGTACAACACGCCCCAGCGCGCCCCCGCCGTTCAGCGACCCGTTTACACCGCCCCGCCGCCCCTTCTGTCCACGCGGACGCCCCCGAACATCTACACCCGCATTCCGGGTCGAGGGGGTGGTGGTGGCGGTGCAACGGTCACGGCGGCGGGCGGCGGAGTGGGTGGCTATCACCTGCCGGCGTACGAGACCAGGACCTCGCCCACCTCCCCGTACGGATCCACCACCACCTGCACGATGCCCCTGCTGAGCGGCCAGTCCAACGGATCGCTGCAGACGAACGGCAGTGGGCTGGGGGGCGTTGTCCTGGGCGGAGGCGGCGGTGGGGCGTGCAACACCCTGCCCCACCCGGGCAGCCTGCATGTGGGTGGCATTTCGGCGGCCTTGACCAGTTCGGTGACCAGCGGAAACATCACCATCGGAGCGGCCCAGTCGCTGCTCACATCGCCGCGCTCGCAGACGGCCACCTACAGCACCACCCTGGGGATGGGTGGGTTGAACGGCGTACAGTCACCACTCCTGATGAGCGGCGGCGGCGGGAACTACGAAACGGTGAGCTCCTGAGAGTTAGCCAAAGAGGACATCAAGTGCCAGATCGTGTGCATTGGCGGGAGCAGTACGTGCACCACCACCACTTTGGGCGCCGAGCGCACCACCATCGTCTAAAAACAAATAATCAAGATAGATGCACTGATGAGTAGTCAGAGGTAACTGAATCCCAAAATCTGTATTATAGTAGTTAAGCTGCAGTGAAAACTCGACAAGACTTCCATGCAAAAGGAGCAGCGCAGGAGCAGATGGAGAATAAATCGAAAGTGAATCATATATGAATAGATATAGCCTGTGTGTACTGGATTTAGCATTGATTTCCAAACCCGACTAACTGTAAACTGTAAACCGTAAACCACAAAGGAAAAGCATTTATTTAGTTTACTACTGTATCTGTCTTTGTGCGCAAAAGAAATAAGAAGGATATATAACACGAATACTTCAGTGAACATAATGAGCTATGCTTGGGAAATTAACGAAAAAAAATAGTTTAACTTCAAACTAAGAGATTTACCGGAATCGCAACTAGTTAAGCTATAGATGTGTATATATGTAACTCATTTAAGGATCAGGTCAGCTAATACTTAAACTAGTTTAACGACTTAGCCACTTAATGTAGCCTAAACTAAATTGAACTTAGTTAGTCACATTGCGAATCTACGAAAAGACTATCCCCCTGATCATATATAAGTATGGTAAAATTACAGAATTTAATGGCATATCTCTATATCGACATAATACATATAGCACAACACAGCAGCAGCAGCAACCCAAGAACAAAGGAATCTGAAATAGGCGCAAACTATATATATATTATAAACGATACGATACAATACGATATGGTGTGGAATGGAATGGATTATACTTGTGTATGTGCATCGAATCATATTTTGTTAAATGTGGAAGGAAATTTTATAAGCATCTGTTGTCGAGAACTTTATCAAATCTATATAATACGAATATATAAATGATCTGTATGTAACTCCATCATAAAACCGCGCGCAAGTAAAAAATAAAGAAAATGTTCAATGTGTCTCCGCCACCACCTGCCCAAAGAAAAGCCCATTTTCCAATTTCCAATTCAACGTAGTCGCTCTAAGGTCGAACTTAAAGTTTTTCCCATTTAAAGATCACACCCCTCCCACCATAAAAAAAACAAAACAACATGAAAAGTGCTTCTTCAATGACAAAATCAAATTGAATTGTGACTCGAATTATAAATTGGAAAATCGAAAAACTTAAGAATGAAATTTAACCTTGGTTTAAACCTAGCAATTAAGAACTTTCGACTCTACAAACATAAACTTAGGTACATATATATATTTTCTTAATTAACCCTTGATTTGTAAGCGATTTGAATATTTATTTTCCGTGCAAACATCATTACTTTTCATTTAGTTCCCCTTAATGTAAAGCAAATGAAAACTTAATATTGCAAATGAGCAAAAACAAGTGAAAATAAGTGAACAAAAAATAAAGAAGAAAATGTGTATAAAACTGGCTAGTTTTTGTGTTCAAATAAAGGGTGGATAAATATTTGCGGCACAATTAAAACTGGAAATGGAAAATGTAAAATGAAAAATCCCTGACCAAAATGAAAAAAAAGAGTCAGACTTTCTCTGCAGTGGGGTTTACACACATATAAATGTGCGCTCGGACAGCTCGTTTTGCCTGATTTATTTGGAAATATTTTTCATCATTTGTGGGCTGTGGGGGGCCAGAGAATACAGAATACCGAGTACAGAGTACCGAGTACAGACACCCGTAACAAGCCCATTTCACCACAGGACATGAGTCGTGTACGCATATTTGTCCTTTTGGCAGGACACGCAATACACTTTTGGAATTAATTAACGCAACCCCAGACGAAGCCCGAAAACCACTCAACCACCCAGAAACCAGACTCGCACCACCTCGAACCCCAAAGAGAAAACAAAGCAACGACATGTGTGGAGTGTTGCAGGATGGATGGATGGGTGAGTGGATGGAAGGATATGGGCGCTTGTTTGTTTGTCCACATCCTGCGGCGAAACTTGTCACAGACTAATTTCGTGTCTCAGCTCATAAATTGATATTAATGAGCCGCCGGCCCCCATCCACGAATCATTTTTCGCGTTTGCCTAACGAATATTTAACTTTCGGTTTGACGGAGTTCAACTGGGTCCTTCGGTTCGCTTTGGTTTGGTTTGGTTTTGGTCCTGGTTCGGTTCGGTTCGTTAGATTCCCTGACAGTTACAAAGTGGCAGTCAAGTAGATGCGTAATTCGAGCAGGACACCAATGTCCTGCGGCTCCTTCGACATGAGTTGGCATTCAAATGAACATGTGAGATGTGTTTTTTTTTTTCGTTGGGCGGCAGCAAGTTCCTCTACTCATCAGCTCCCCCGAGAGAAACTGACACATTTCGTGTAGCAGCAAATTGAATGAATCATTTGGGTGTTTGCCACAGGAAAACTCTATCCAAATTACAGCAAGTGAGTAAATTCATTAACAGCTTTTTGGGTAATAATTAATAAAGTGGGGTCAGGTTAGGAAATGAAAACTCTTTGTTAGATTTATTCTTGTATGATTACAAGTTGCGTATTCAAAATTAGTCATATGGTTGTTTAATTCAGTTTATTTTAGATTGGCGGAGATCTAATGATTCTGGCTCGGATTCCACTGCGGAACTTACTTCCATCTCCGATTGTGATAAAGAACTCACATTTCTTTCCGATTCGCTATCATCATCTGTGCAGGACACTCTTGAAGTTGATTTTCTGAGCGAACTATTACTTTCTGTGGTTTTTACTTCTCCCTCCTCGGATTCACTGTCATCATCTGTGCTAAATAACTCTCTTAACCGTGCTTTTGTGTACGCATTATTATCTAATTGTTTGGTTTTCACTTCTCCTTCTTCCGATGAACTATCATTATCTGTGCTTGAAAACAGCTTTGAATGGGATTTTTTGAAGGAACTATTATATATTTCCCTAGTTGTTACTTCGTCTTTTTCAGATTCGCTGTCATCATCGGTGCTTATGAACTCCCTGGATTTTGCCTTTTTGAAAGCACTATTATCCAATTCTTGGGTTGCGGCTCTTTTGCGGGATTTTTGAGCGGTTCTCTTCTTGGAGCCAGGCAGTTGATCTTCCTTTTCTTCCATATCCTGCTGATTTTTCCTGCCACGTTTTTTGCCCTTGCTGGAGTCCTTTTTGGGCAGTTCAGACTGTAAAGGGGCGTTCATTATTTTTCTTGTGCGTTCCAGGACCTCCTGCCGCTTGGCCATCTGGTTCTCCCGCAGGATGCGATTCTCTTCCTCCCGCTGCAGACGTTGATCCTCCAGCTGCTGCTGATGGTCCAGATATCGTTGCTCCTGCAAACGAATGCGTTCCTCCTTCGATAACTGCAAATCACGCATGCTTTCTAGTTTATCGAGTAGTTGGTTCATCAAGCTCTGGCAATCGCTGAATCCCTTGGAAGTACAACGCACCGAGATCTCAGTTTGTGTAAGATTAAGGTAGTAAAAGTAGCTGGAAGAAGATATTGTTGATCATCTTTATTAATTCAATAAGGGGTAACTCACTGGTACGCCACCTTAAGCTCCCGTTCGGCTTTTTGAAGGTCCTCCCATTCGGGCAGTGGCAGGGCCAGGATGCGTTTGGTGTCCTCTTCGATGACCAGGGCCAGATTGAACATCAACAGCTGATCCTGGGGAGCCAGGTGACGAGTCTTGAGCAGCAACATCTTGGCTTCGCGGACCTTTCCCTCGCCATATAGAGATTTGGCTAGACAAGCCATCACCTCCACAGAGTTTTCCGGCATTAGGTCTTTTAGGCACATCTTGTAGGTCTGACTGGCCAGCCTGAATTGGCCAAGTTCCAGGGCTACGTGGGCCGAATTTAGGGTGGCCGCGGCGCACTTACTTCCGGCCGCGACAATTTGCCTGAAGACGTACTCAGCATTGGGTAAATTACGACAGGTGGCCAGGGCAGCTCCCATTCCGTTCAAAGCCCACTTGTTTCTTGAATTATTATCTAAACTCTAAAAAAGAATGTATAATAAAATATCAATATGGAATAGTAAAATATATATCTAAAAATGCAACAAAAATGCTAAATAAACAAGGTAGAAAATAATTGATACTTAGGCTTTTTTTGTTCCAGTGTTGGGAATATAATTTTACCCTCTTGTACAAGTGCAAAGCCTTTTCCTGCTGCTTCCGGGCTGATGATTTATCCCCTTTAATCATGAAACTCTGGCATTTTCTTAGACAGGCATTTCCAAGAGCCATCAGAGAGTAGCTATCCTGATTGTTTTCAGGGTTATTCAATATCGCATTGTAACTGTTGAAGGCAGGCTTGTGAAGTTCCAGCTTCGTATAGCAGATTCCCAAATAGGTCCTGGAATATTTAAATATCTGATTAAAAATCGAATTTAGGTTTGGATCTATTAAGGACCCACTTGGCGGTTAAATTATTGTTGTCTGAGGACAGGACATCCTTGAAGTGATCAATGGCTATGCTTAGCTTATTCTGTTGCATCGCCATTATCCCCAATCTCATATAGCTGTCGTAGTACTTGGAATATTGTGCGATAATCGATTGGTGTTGCTCCTCAGCCAGGTCGCTCCTATGGAGATCCTCCAGAATGCGACCACGATTGAATAGCATTATTGGCATATCCCCCGTCCTGCAATTGCCAAACTGCGAAAAGGCCTGGTCGAGTGTAGCGAGTGCCGCCTGTGGCTGTTTGGCCTTCTGCTGAGTGGCTGCCAGGTTATTCAGTGACTCGATCGGGATCTTCAGGTGTCCCTGGCCCAGGTGAATCCTCCTGGCCTCGTGATAGCAATTTATCGACTGCAAATAGAGCCCCTTTTGCTCGTAGGCGTATGCCAGCATTAACCAGCTGTCAATATCCTGGCGACCGGGCTTCCTTGTGACCACCTTGACCAGCATTTCAATGGCCCTATCGATTTGTCCCGGGGATCTTTCCCTGAGATATGTTTTAGCCAGCAGGCGCATTGCACTGGACTCGTTGGGCCGGAACTTTAGGAATATTTCCAGGTATCGCTTGGCCCTATCGACATCCCCGTCCCTCAGGTGCATTTGAGCAAGTCCCATTTGGGCAGGAACATATCCTTCTGGTGCCAGTCTCACCGAGTTGAGGTAGTAAATCCTGGCCAAATCGAACTGACCGGTTGCATGGAGACTCCTCGCAATCTGATAGCAAGTATACGACTTTAGCTCCGGATTGTCGGTGTTCCTATGGGCATTTCCAGCCAAAATAAAGACCCTCTTGTGATTACTGCTGAAATAGTAATGGGTGGCGAGAATGCTTAGTATCCTTGGATGGCGCTTGTTCATTTCGTAGGCTGCAATCAGCAGATTCATGCCCTCTCTATAGAAATGCTGATCTCGTTGATTCATTTTCAGAAGGGCCATTCCCAGTAGGGCATTCTGGCATCGCCCATTGTGCCGAAGGGCCAGCTCAAAGAAACGACGGGCACTGTCCAGATCACCTATCCTCAGGAAACAGTGCGCAACGCCAATGCGAATATCGCCGGGTCCTCGCGGCTGTTTCGTTAGGACCGTCTTAAGGTAGCCCTGCGATCCCACGAAATCCTGGCGATTGTAGGCCAAACAAGCGCGACCAATCAGGGCCAGGATATTGTTCGGCTTCTGCCGGAGAACCCTGACAAACTGGTCATCTGCATCTTGGGCTCGGCTCTCTGACAACATCAGGGCGAATCCCTTAACCACCTGGAAGCGAATATCTTCAGATCGCTGGGAGACATCCAATATTCGAATATAATTGAAGGCCTTAGCCCACAGGACCTGGCGACGTTTGCCCAACGCCTTGTAGGCCATGTAGGTAAAGTAGGACGCTAGCAGGACATAAGCCTTGGCCAAATCGTCCCTATAGCATCTGTACGGTGTGGTACATTTGGTAATGCCTGCCTCCAGAAACTCCACAAACTTATCACCTTGATGGAGGGTGTAGTAATTTACCTAAGGAAAATATTTAGTAAATATATTATTTCAAGATATATTGTAAAATTAATTAACAAACTTACAGCCGTCTTAAGACAATTGCGCAAAGACATCCCCTCCATGGAAGGAAGATTTTCTTTTGCTACACCGGTTACTTCCATTTTTTGATAGTCACTGAAAACTTTTGACGGAACAATTATTTTCATTGACAAGTAACCTTAGGGTTGATTAATCCTATCAAAATACAGAGAACCTCATGCAGGGTTGCCAGCATATAAAAATATCGATACATTTTTAGAACCTTTAAAACAAAAGAAAATAATTCTAATTATCATATCGATAATGGTAATGTTTCTATAACTTCAAGAAAGTATATCCAACGCAGTTAATTTATATACATTATTTATTTCTTATTATTTTTAGAAACGAATATATTTCTTTAAAAAAGGTTTAGGTTTCTTAAAGAGTACGAAATAGCCCTAAATAAACCATCAAACTTACCTAATATCAATGGCCTCTTTTATTGATTATCCTCAACTACTTGAACAATAGCCTGTTCAATGTCAATGCCAGGGTTACAATTGAAAATCACTTCGATGACGTAAATTACAATGACTGCTATCCACTTACGCTTTCAGTTTGAGCGCAATTATTTCATGATTCCGCTTCCAATCTTTTTCCAAAGCTCTTTGCTCGCATTTTTTGCTTGTCACCAAACTTGACCCAAAAGGTGCAAACAATCGAGCTCTCATTACTGTCAGTCTGTCAGTTTGTCAGTTTGTCAGTTGGTCTGTCTGTACCCCACCTTCCCATTTTGGCCAATTGTCGGTGTGTTGACGGAGTGTAAAAATAAACAAACATTCCGTCGAACAATGCTAATCCATTCGATATGGTTTGCCCGGATTAGCTACCAATTCCAATTCCACATCCGCATGTTCGTAGGGAACTTGTTCTTTTGCCCCAAGTTTCTTGGGGTATAAATACTTGGCTTTGGCTGGGGAATAGCATCAGTCAACGCACTCCAAGTCTTTGAGAACGTTCGTCGTACACAAACCCCAAAAAAACAATCAACATGAAGGTAAGAAAAGTTTGTTTAAAATATATATCCAAGTTCCTAAGAGTCTTCAAAATAATATTTTTAAAATCTTTGGAATAAAGTGCAATTTGGGGAAATAAATCAATATTTTACTTATTAACTAATATACTATTTTTCATAATGTTTCCCCTTAGTTTCTCATCTGCTTGGCTCTCTTCATCGCCGCTGCCCAGGCTCATGTTGTGGCCCCTGCTGTCGCCACCTATGCCGCTGCTCCGGCCCTGACTTACGCCGCCCCTGTGTCCACCTACTCGGCCGCCATTCCCCGCGCCTACTCCGCCTACGCCGCTCCCTCCGTTTATGCCGCCCCCTCGGTCTACTCCGCCCCCTCCGTCTACTCGGCCCCCTCTGTCTACTCGGCCTCCGCCTATGTGGCCTCGCCCTCCGTGTACTCCGCCTACGCCGCCCCTGCCGTCGTCTCCACTCTGCTCAAGAAGTAAAGTGTTTTGATCGATCAAAGTATATGTACCCAATTTTGTCAACGATTTTCCATGAAATAAAGCTGTGAATTTATGAAAGCAATGAAAACTTATGTTTTTTTTTTTTAAATATTTTGTTCGGCGAACAACTACAGCAATTAAATCCTTAATACTAATTTTTCTCCACAGAAAATGAAAACTTTGAAATTAAACCATCGTTTTCTAGTCCCTTATTAAATTTACTGTAGGGCTTAAACCTTAATATCGCATGCCAAATCAGGGTTTAAAGCCTTCTTTAAATTTAACACGCGGATGAGAAAACGGACCTTAATATTTATGTTTTTAAAAGTTGATGGCGTTATGACACTTTCAAAAAAGTGTTATGATTAAATAACTTTTAAGGAACCTAAATGCTGACAATTAAATATTCTGTTAATATTTTAAATTCTGAGTTAGAAATGGACAGGACCTTTGAATGCGTCCTTCTGCCTCTTCTACACTCGCACACCTGAGAGGCCCCCCAAAGTGTTTAAGGTTAATTCGTTGGCATACATATTTTATTTAAACTTGCTTGCTGGCCCAGTTTGGATCCTGCAGGATGGCTTGTGGTTCATGTTATGGCATCCGCCCGCCCGTTAATGTTATGCAAATGAATTACGACTCGACTCGGCTAGGATTGTGCCATGTTCAGGCACGTGGCTAACACACACATACACATTTACTTGGAATATGTGTAATCCCCCAACATGGGCGACCCATAAACATGGACCACAAGCAGGACTTTGAGCCAACTCCTGGAGTCGAGTTGAGTACTCTCCTGTAAGCGCCCAAGCAAATTTATTGATTGCTCCATAATGCACTTATGCCACAGCGAAATCCTCCTTTTTTCTGCGATACACTTCCGACAGACGATTATGCAGAACAACAAAACTTTTGCCCGCTACATTTCCGGGGAAAAAGTTTGGCCTAAATCACTTAGACCTCAGACGAAAAACAAGTGTTGGCATGTCGAAAAATCAGAACGTGCGGGTGGGTGGGAAAACTTTAGAAAGTTTTGTGCCAAAACAGCAACAAGCCGAAAGTCAGAAGTTGCAGAATCTAGATAGCATTTCATCTGCGAGTCTCTGACTTCCAGTTGAAATTGCTCAATAATTAATCAACAATTTACTACAGTTTGTCCTGGTAAATATTTAATTAACCATTTGCCAATGACATTTTGAAAAATATACAAATTCGGAAGGTAGACCAGCCCTTTAAAGGCCATCTCCCATTGACTTGGCAAATAAATTATTTAAAAGTCAACAGAGAAATTAGAGATTTGTTTTGGGTGTCGAGGGGAAGTGGAAATGAAAGGAAATGCTGTATAAATTATGGATGGCAAGTATTGTCGGCAATTAAGTGACCAGGGTAAACGAGCAAAGCGGGCGATTATTTGTTCTGCTGTTATGGAAAACAAACAAGCAAATTGGCTAGAATCAGTCGGATATAAGAGACTGTGGGCTTAATCCCGGATCTTTTGTGCATCGCCACTTCAGACGTCAGGCTCTTGTTCGGTTCTCTGTTCTCTGTTTTTTTTTCTATTCTTTTATTTTAGACAAGGACGTGACAATCCTGGCACAAGTCGCCATTGTCAATGGCATTTTCAGCAAGGCAACGGGGAAAGGAAACCCCGACCAGATTCTCCCGTTTTCCTGCCACTTGAGACGCAGCCAAATGCCCCAGGACATGTTTGATATGCACTCCATCCTGGCATGGGCTTAATTACGATGGCAGGGCCAACAATACAATACAATACAACAATATTGTGAGCACACAAAATTTACAACAAACAACTTGCCACTGTAGATGCAGAAGGGGGAAATGAATATCGGATTATAGCCACTCGGTGAAAGCTGCTTTCTCCTTATTATTCGATTCGGTTTTGAATTGAAGCATCCTCGAGTATCCTGTCGGCATCGAAGGAGAAGAGAACTTAGCTCCGCTGCATTATTATTTCATATTTCTTGGCACGGAAATAAGATCTATTGCCATGGAAGCGGAATAAGTTACCTTTCCATTCATAATTACGACATCAGATTAGGCTACCAGCTGGAGTTTGTAGTATTATTAATGCATTTATTTAAATACAGAATTAAATAAAGAAGAAAATATTTGAAGCTGATAACCCTTTGCATAGTTATCAACACTTTAACGGAACTACCATGAAAAAACGCTGGGAAAAATCCCTGTTTTTTTGCACAAAAGTCCATCCATTAAACATGTATAATACATACTTGCCACATTCCTTATGCTCAAATGGACCCGAATAACTATTTCATGACAGGATCCATGGAATGAAAACTTTTGCTTTTCCACCCGGTTGTGCGTTTAAATTAATAAAACATTTAGCCAGCCTGAGTACACGTACACTTTCATGGGTAAACAAACTAAAATTAACTAAAAATGTTGAGAGTGGCTAAGAGCAGCAGCAGCAGAAACATTAAGTAAACAGCCCAAAAGTATGCTTCAACTTTGGGCATTACATAAATTCCACACACACACAAAACTCACTTCTCTACAAGTAAAGGCAACAAAAGCACATTAAAGCTTAGATAGCGGGAGGAAAAGCGGGAGAGGGAAAGGGGAGGGGGTCCGGAAAAGAAGCTAGCAAACAACCATAACATTTATCACGAACACTTAAGTTTGCTCAAAGGGGAAAATGCGGGAAAGCCCGGGAATATCGAGTCAAGCGGAGGTTTTGGTGGGCGGTTTGTTAAATCAATTTGATAAACTGTCAATAATGTGAAATAATTTAATGCGCAGCCTCCAAGTCAAACCGGTTGGAGGGAAAGTTGGCGATACAGATTTCCCCCGACTCATCGTCACAAGCAATTATGATGAACTTGAGCTGGATTTTCCCTCCTTTTCACAGGCGCTTTCCCACCCGCTTTCTCCCCGCCACTTTGCCCCCAATGTTTGCTATTAGCACTTGCTGAAGTTAAGACAAATTTTTGGTTACTTGGACAAGCGAAAGCCGAGATTTATCAAAGATATCTCCGAGATGGACCAGTCAACAATAACGCAAAGTGTCAACAGAGGCGGCGAGGGGAGGACGACAAGAAAGGCGGTAGGGGAAAGAGGAAGAGCAGATGAAGAAGCTAACGCAAAGCGGGCAGATAACAATGGACAAAATGGCAACAGGAACACTGGGAGAAAACCTGGTTCCAAAATGGGTATTATCTTGCAAACCTTTTACACAATATTTTAAATAACTCAAAAATATAAAGGGTATTTAAATGAAGATAACGACCTTACTCACTTTAACATTTAATAACTATAATATTTCAAACATTTATTAATATAAAAACGTTTAGTTTTAAAATATTTATATTTATATTTATTTATAAAATATTTAAGTTCTAAGTTGAACAATTTGTAAGCCAAATAAAGCTTCTAAAATTTCAAGAATACTGATTCGAACAATCACAATAAATTGTGGTTAATAACATAACACGATATTTTGGTTATTTTAAGGATCTTAATAATCTAACTTTTATTCCAAAAAATCAAGAAATTTCAGGAACATACATAACTAAGTTAGTTACTTTTTTCAGTGAGCATCGTCAGAGAGGTTTCGAGATATCCAAGGTCTGGACATTGGTGCTAGGGGGAGGTAATACAGCGGGGGGCATGGAGAATGGGGTCTGGAGAATAGAGAAGGGGGAATGGGGTGACGACACTGACGATGTCTGTGCGTGCGTGGCCCGAATCCTTTTGTGCGGGCTGTTGGAAACGACCTTCATAAAACAAACACGCCGATAATGAGTGAACAGTCGTAGGTTTCCCTCAAAGCAGAGGGTCTGAATCTGAGCGGGGAGAAGGTGGAGTGGGGGAGGGGGCGGCACATTTGGTGCCAGGCCACCAATTGGAGCTACCATTTCGACTGTGACTACGACTCTCAATTCAACGGATTTGCCGGTTTCCTTTGTGAGTGCAACTAACTGGGCGATAATCGGCATTTGATTTGGTGCCGGCGAAAACTTTTCTCAAGAGTTTACCTCTTTCCCAGACCCTCTGCTTCCCTATTTTCCGCATTTCCCCCTGCGACAGCTGATTGTGAAGTCAACTCTGGTTCGGCTTTGGCCTGAGTTATGCGACAAAGGCTTTCGAGTCGAGGCCTTCGGCAAATCGATTTCAGTCTGGGTGAAATTTTAAAGGTTGAGCAGCCAGGAAGAGGGAACTTTTGGTGGTGAACGGTAATGATGTGTGCCAACGTAAATGGGTTACGGATAATTGTTGCGGTTTTCGTTCCCTGTTTGTTGCCGGAAAAGTTGCTCCTTATAAAAGAGTTTAAAATTAGTAGAATGAAAGGTTACAGCAACAGTATTACATAAGTCAAAGGTGGTTTAATATTTGATTTCTTTTTTCTCTTGCGTAACGTCAAAATGAAATAATATTTCCTAACATTAAATAAGATTTAAAGTACTTCAAAGGTATCTCTTTACCTTTAACCTTTCGTCGCTGCATGCCAAGCTTTAATCTAATCATTTTTCTTCCATTTTTAGAGATTCCTTTTAGACTCTGGCTTTTGTTGAACTCTTTTTCTCTTTACCCGGGCAACATTAAGCCAGTTAAGGAGCGGAAGTCATGTTAGCTCCGGCCACGCCTCCCGCCTCCCCAACCCGCCTCATTTTCTACCCACCTGCTAAATTTGCATAAAAGATGCTTTTCACTTTTCCAGCCAAAGAAATGAAAACTCCGGCTGCAAATATCTCAGGACGGCTGCCTTTGTTGGGTTGCCTGGCAGCCGAGGGAAATAAAATATTTTTTGGCAAAGGAAAAAGGCAGGAGCAGGAGCAAATGTAAACTAAACGGCAAGAAGCGCAAAAGGGAGATACGCGAATAAAGAAAAAAAAAGAAAAGGGAAATAGCAACACATGGAATTTTCCGTTTTTGTAGGGTTTCATTTTTTGTTTTTCTGTTGTCGTGTGGAATTAACTTAGCGGAAACGGAAATGGAAAATGGAAATGAAAGCTGCTGCACAGAGGCATATGGCCAGTGTCAAGGCCCAAGGATGATGGCCGACAGCTGTTGGCTCTCCGTTTTCCTTCAGATGAATTTTCCTTGCATTTCCCTGGCTAATCATCCACTGATAGGAGGGTGCTTTGCTGCGGTTCGGACTCCTCTCGGTTTCTCTGCGAGAACGGCCTCAGAACTTGCCAGTAATTGCAGCAGTAAATGAAGAGAGCTGGCCAAGAAAATAAATAATTTTTTTAATATCACAAAATGCATCCTGCTTATGTGGAATATCTCACTCAGGCAGCTGAGCATGAGCCACGTCAAGGTGGCTATTACCATCATCAGATTGTTATGAGCTCGTTCCTCCTCGGACACTAAACGAGAATCACTCATCATTTATATGGCTGGAGTTTTAGAGTTAGTGCCTGTACCTCCTGGGGCTGTAAAGTTCTCACTGCCGGTCATCGTCCATAAAAGAAAACTTTACTGTTTTGCTGAATAGTTCGTCTAGTACTGGTTCTCATTCACTTTACTTTTACTATACGAACTCAGTTGGGAAGTCCGGAACAGCTGTTTTCCTATCTATGGCTAAACATTTGTGGGGGTTTATCACAGACTAAGTGAATTGGTCATGGAAATTCAAATAGCTTGTGGATTGTTTTGAATTAACTGGGTATTTAAACATTGATAAGAAAAAACAGAGGCGTACTAAAAATGTATAGCTTATTTTAAAGAATTAAAATGCAAACATATTCTACTTATTTATTGTGTCTCCATTTCACTTTCATTTGCATGTATCGTTACAATTGAGACATCTATTTTTAGCAGCTCTTACCTCATCCACCTGGCCACGCCCCCTTGACACCCGCCCCTGCCCTCAGCAATTGTAACTGTTATTGAAGGCGTTGCTGTTTATCGTTTGCCGCATTGCATGACTTTAGCTAGTATATCAATATCAGGGAAGCACCTCTTTGCCGAACTTCGATAGATATCCCCTTCCGCATAACAGTCGAACTGCCATTGACACGCCGAAACAAAGAAAACTGGCTGAACTTCGAGTAAAAACCAAACTTGCATTTATGGCCAAAACAAACAAATATTATTGACAAAATTATGGCCGGCGCCCAAAACAAAATACAAAGGATATAAAATGTTCGTTTTGCTGCACACTTCGTGACTTTTTGTGAGGGTTAAAAGGCGAGAGGCAATGGGCAAATCAAGTGCCTTGAGTTCCCACGCAATCGATTTCAGCAAAAGAAGAAAAATATAGAAAATCCCCATTTTGGTGCAGTCCTCCATTTTTTTAGGTTTTCCGCCCTTGACATGACAACAATATCCGAATGCGATTTTCGGTTTCCTGTGGTGTCGAACGTTAAGCTAGACTTTCCAAAGGAAAGACTTAAAAAATTTCACAAACTCATAAATATAATTTTGAAATTCTGTAAATTTAAGTTATTTTTAAACAAACTGGGAATGGCAACATAATAGGGAAAATATTAAAGCGAAATATTAAAGAAACGACAACCGTTGAAAATCTCTTGATTATTACACATTAGGGGCAATTTGTGTCACTCCTTTCAAGAATCTCAAGAGCCTGATGTCAAAGCATCATATTACTTATTATTAGCAATTTCGTAATTGTAATTCAGGAATCTCCCCCCCTGGGAATGTGTCCTCTTCGCTTTGCCAACAAGCTCTCGGGGCCAAATAAAACGAAGCATTTCACGATGCAAGAGTCAAGTCAAAGGAGGGCAGAAGTGGGTTTCCATGCCATATAAAGAAAGCCACATAAATGCTTCCTTTCTCCGCTTTTTTCACATTTCCCGCTCCTTCAGGTTTTTTTTCCTTTCAATGAATGATGAATGCCTGATATCTCTCAGTCTCCGTTCTTACATTTTCTTTGAGTGTGTGGGAGTCGTAATGAAATTAAATATTTAAGCTCGCAATGCCTGAATGGGCAGGAGGGAAATGGGTGGAAATGCGGAAAAGTACTGCAAAGGGGACACAAAGCACAGCCATAACTTTGTGCCTTATGTTTCACAACATGCTGTGGTTTTGGCCCCTTTGAAATGCGTGGCACAGGATTAGGATTTGGATTAGGGATGCGCAGCACTTCAGACCTCAGACAAATGCAGCTGCAGCTGAAACATTTGCAACATTTGCAGCTGCCACCGCCGGATTAAGCCAACTACTGCGGCATTACAAAACGCTGCCAACGTCATCATAATCAACTTTTCGCCACACTCAACCTTTTTTTCACAGCCACCCGAACGTGCTGACACCTCCGGAAAAGTTGCCAACTTTCCACTGTCGATTATTTGCTGTCAAATCAGAATTTATTTTGGCAATGCATTCGATTTGGCAATTTTCAGCAGACCATTGCAAGGTGTTTTGGTATAAAGTGGAGCCAACACGTCCAGAAATATAGTCAAAAGGGGGGAAACAAGTTTGAAAGTGTTTTATTGAAGCTACAAAAGTTTTTCGGAGGCTAAGTAAAGTAAGTGTGGAGTTTAGAAAAATCTGTAAATATGCTTGAATGAAAAGAATACCATAATTTAAAAAAATCCTAGAAAACCAAATAGTAAAGAAACAATTTAGTTCTAAAGACCACAAAAACTCTTCCAAAAAATGGACCAAAAAATTCTAAAAAATAGACAACAGAAAATAGGGCCATAATATGCTAATCCAGTGAACCTTAAAAGTACGCCAGGAATTAAATAATGCCCCGAACTACATAAATAGCGAACGCATTCGAGCGGCAATGCAACAATTTTTAATTACCATTTAGGCGCTTCAACGAGCATTACAGAAAGCTGAAAGGCGAAAAAAGAAAAATAAAGATAGATAGAGGAAATTGCTGGCAGCATTTTGGTCTCGACTTTTTCACCATTTTTTCCTTTTGCCCGGCGTTTAACAAAAATTAAACAGCAAAAGGAAAAAATGAGGAAAATTCTGCGAAAAACGAGGAAGAAGAAAAACAAACGCCAGGGAAATTAAGTCAATGTCCTGCGGGGTCAGTTGCGTTTTGGATAAATGTAATTAACCTTCGGGATCGCGAACATTGAGTTGGGTCCGCCAACTAAAAAGCAAGAGAGACAGGGAGAGACAGCTGGAGAAAAAGGACAGCAGTTGGGAAAAGCCAGATTATTTGGTGTAAATGATGGGTTAACATATTCCCAAAATCGCTCGGCCCACAAAAAGTACAGGGTGGCTGAGATGAGATGAGAAAGATTTACTCGCTACTCGGAGACATTCATCACTTTAAATAGACCACGAACCACATCATTAGGGCAGTCGCCTTGCAAATTAATTACAATCGAAGCGAAAGGTGGAAAACTCGGGGGAAGAGCTGGGTGGAAAACTGTGTGTGTGGGTGGGAGGTATCAATGAAGAACTGAGGGCCAAGAAGCCCCCGAAATCCACAGGCAAAGTTCCAACAATGGAGCCTGGCTGTAATTACCTTCTCACACACAAACAGTGGAACCCCGGAACACGGATAAAGACGGTCACACACACATAATTAACTCGATAATGAGGACAAAACCCATAGCCACACGTACCTACCTACAGTCAAAGCCAGAGAACCCAATGCCACCCAAGTTGTCGCAAATGTATGTAATGGCGTGTCACAGTTGTTGTTCGTGCGGTCGCCCAGGGGGCACTGGGGGGTTAAGGTGGGCTATAGGGTGGTCTAGGATGGTCTTAGGGGGAACCCCCATCCGTACTATTAGGTTTTGTTTGCCACGATAATGACTTCCGCTTCGACAGAGCCGAGGATGACAGAACCGGAATTCGTAATTGCTCCTAAGCGTTTGCCATTCTCTATCTCAATTTCCAGCGTTTGCCTTTGATTTTGCTGCCCCAAAGGAAAAACTCCCCCCAGTTTAGCAACCCCTTTTTCCACACATATCCAGGAATGTGTGTTTTTGGTTTTTAAATGTATACGCATTTGACCCGAATGTCGTTGGGCACAAGGAAAAGCTGGCTGAATGCGAAAAAAGGTGTGAAAAACTATGCAGGAAAATTGGTTAGAAGGGAGGGATACTACAAAGTGTTTGGTATGCTAATTTCTAAAGGGCTGGAATTATATTTAGTAGTTGCTGCAATTGTCGGAACCAGCTGGAAATTGCAAATTAGAATGGCGATTGATGTATTTTTTCAAGCCAGTAATTCAAATTCTTTGAAATCCTTAAATTTTAGGAGTATTTTTATAGTACTTGATATAATATTCCGATGAAATCCCTCCAAGGCTCACCCCATTTAATTTCTTTCCGTTCAAAAACAGAAATAATAAGCTCAATCCTTTGGGAGAGCCGGGAATATTTCATGATTACGGGCAATTGAATTACACATTTGCATAGTCGAGTTAATTCCTCGGGAGATGGCCAAGATACAGAATGGCACAAAAGCCCTAGCATTTATCGCAGTTTACATTCCAATTGCCATTTGCCGTTTGCCAGTGGTGGCGGTGGTGGCCAAAAAGGGGGAGGTTTACCCCCGTTTGATTGCGGTAAAATGCTAATTAACGGAGCAATGCTCCAGTTTGGGCGAAAACTTTAACCCACTGACAAATGACTGCCAGTCTGGGGTTAAGTTAGGGGTTAGGGCGGACTTGGCTGGCGTTTCTTTAAAGTTTTTAGCAGACTCTTTAACGTGGCCTAAATATTAATGGGCGCATTACGTATACGCCGCGTTGGCCGCCGTCCGTGCGCTGACCTGCCTTGGGAATTGTGGGTCTTAAATTCATATCAAAATATATATATTAAATATTCCCTTGCACTGGATTCGCTGGCTGCTTTGCTTTAATATTTATAGCAAAGTCCCTGGAGGACGAAATGGCTTTTGTGAGCGCTTTCTCCTGCTCTATTTGTGAAATTTAAGCACGAAAAAGGTTCGCATTTTAAATGCCACGGTCTGAGCAGCGAGTTATCTGCCCGTCTGCCTTTGAGGCCCCGGCTATATGGCTCTAAACTTGTTGGTTCCATCGGGTTTCCACCGGGCATCCACTGGGGGATTCGGTTTTCGTTTGGTAATTTGTGGAGTGCCGTTCTGCGTGGGAGAAACCAAAGCAAACTGAAGAACCGAATTGGGGAGCGATTTCAATTGGCTGTGGATGGATTTAATAAAAGGTTGCGGGGGCAGATAAGTTGGTTACCCTCCAACTCGATAAAGTTACCACTGAGCTTACAAAGTTACCACTGTACTTATACCAGTAAGCTTGGATAGAGCTTCATTGAAAATGGTTTAACTACTTTGAGCTTATAAGCCAGCATTTGGCAGGTTAATTAGGATTATTTTAAAGAAGTGTGGAACAGATTGGTATAAAAATAATATATCTAAATAATATGCATCGATATTAAAAATAAAATAAATAAATAAATTGTTGCATACTTTTAGAAACCTTTATAAGTTGTTTTAAGCCGCTAGTTTCTTCCATGGGACCCTCACGAGATTTCTTGTATTTAAGAAGTTTATTTATTTATTTTAAAATCTAAATTTAGATTTTAATATTCTTGCATACCAGTTGAAGCCACTTTGTAACCGAATTAAAACCTCTTGAGATCTCAAAGCTCCCAAATATTTCATGTAGTGAAAGCCAGGCATAACATTTCTTTGCATTACGTAAAACCCTTGAAAATATCATATATAACAGCCAACTATTACCCTCCTGTGTTTATTTTATACTTGTTTCCAATTGCCATTGCCAATGTCCTTCGTTGCAAATTAATTACATCCTTTCTCCCGCTCTCTCCGTCTCTTTTTCGCCTCTATCAACGTTTGTGTGTGTGTCGGCACTCGATAAAGGCATTGATCACACGGCCACCTATATAGCTCATCCGCCCCGTAAGCCCGCCCCCTTTTGCATTTGGCTCGATTGCAATTACAGCGCCTGGCGGAAAAAAGGAGAGGGGGCTTGCATATTTCATAGTAGCTACGCATAAGTGACACTTGTCAAAACACATTTTCCACACCTCCCACCCGCTTTTCCCTTTGGCCAGAGGCAAAAAAGCATATTTCAAGTGCGGCACTTCATGTGCGTCAAACAGAATGTCGGAGCGAGACGGCATGTGCAGTGTGCGAGGGAGAGAGAGCGCCACACACGAACCGAACAGTGAACACCAAACAGTGAACAGAACTGAAAAAGTGCTCAAGTCGAAAGCCCTCGAGTTGTTTTGCAACATTTGAACACGTCAAGTTTTTTAAGGTCAACATGTCGCTGGCAGGCAGGCCAGACATTAGACATCAGACACGGCTAACACGCCGCGGGTGGTGGCAAGGGGGGTGTTAAAAAGGGGGCGGTAAAAGGGTTTGGCCAAAGGTGGCAAGCGGATAATATTGGTCGGTCCAACGAGCGGAATGCCATTTGCATTTGCGGCGAAAGAATTGTCAAAGGATTGCCCCTTGTCCTTTATTCTTAAATCAATTTAAAGAAAAGTCTGTCCAAAGAATCATATATATGGGTCATTATGTATTTATATAACATTTATAGTGTATTTAAAGAAGACTACAGAGTTTTGAGGGAACTATCAGTTTATCATCAGTTTACATTTAACTAATTAGCAAACCAATTTGTATTAAAACCGCCTTTAATCGAACTACCTGTTCTTATAAATCCACAAAATATATTTCCCAAAATACTTTCTCATGATATGTCCCTCCTTTTAGATAATGGAATAGAGCACTAACAATTTTGTCTGCTTGGTCAAATGAAAGACAGTTGAAATCCCACCTAAGAACTGTTTTCTCCATTGATATCCCCAAAGTCCACCCACTCTTTCGGCTCTTGGGCGACTCTGGCCCCAAGAAAACCCTAAGAACTAAACCCTCTCCACCCCCTTTTAGCCCATCGTTTATTGTTGCTTGGCTTTGGGGCCAGATCCAAGGCTGGTCCTTAGCCATTCGGGTGCCTTGTTTACTCGTTGGATGTTCACGGCTTTATATGCGGAGACGTACGTGAAAGCACATACATACGTACATACTATACGCTGTGTGTGCGTTTCGGTCTGGTTGGAAAACACTTTTTCACAAAATTTTCTCAAAAAGAATGTTAGACAAACCGCTTTGTTGGCAACAATTTGGGTTAAAACTTAAGTGTTTTGCTTCGAGTTGAAACCAAGCCACCTCCTTGCTCCCCGCTTCCGCCGCAGCCCCTTAAATTCTTTGGCATTGCAGTGCTTTTGGCCTGGCTTAAAACGAAACCCACAAGAAAAGGCGAGCAAGAAAGGCCAACTAAGAAAAACCAACAAAGTTCGGGGGAAAACGTGAAAATGTTTTTGTGCTTTTCCCTTTCATGCATTCCAAGCCAAGAAGCAGCAGCAGCAGCCGAGGCAAAAGGAGGTAAATTGTCCTTTTAACTTCTCTCGCAGCTGTTGCTGTTCCATATAAATTTCGTTAAAATTCAGCACTGCACTTTCGCTTTTCCCCCAAAAAACCGCTTAAGCAGACAATGAGCAGAAAGTATCTCGGGGAGCTCCTGAAGAGGCATCCTCATTAGACCAACTGAAAATAATTAACAGTCATTACCCAAATTAAAAACTGTGAAGCATGCAGGGGGCTTTGCATATCTTGAACAATATACCTTCTTAATAATAATAAAAGGAACAATACTAATTTAGAAATGCATTAAAGGATCATTATAGTTTCTAAATATTTCTTATGATATCAAAAACTACTTTTAAATTTTTAAAAATATGTATTAAATACTTTAAATCAGAAAGTATGTCCAATACAGCTAAAATTAATAGGCAGTGCTTAAATTGCTTTATCAATTTCCAGCCAATGTGCGTTGCATTGGGCTAATTTGATTGAAAGTTTTCGGATCAAGTTTGTGTGGGTAGTCTTACATATGCCGCAAATTTGAGGCCACATCAAAGGAAAAGTTGATGCAAATATATGGCCCGGGGTGAAGTAAGACCAAAACCCAGACCGAACCAAACTCGAAGCCCAACCAATCCATTCAAATGTAAGCAAAGTGGAAAAGAGAACGACCGGAGTCGCAGATGAATTTGTTTGCTCACATTTTGGGGCTGCATTATTGGATATCTCAGCTCGAACTTAACTAATTTTAAAGTTTTCCAAATGAGAGATCTCTGTGTGTGCGGCAAGTTCTGCAAAACTTTCCACAGCTCGTGGAATTAGTTGCAATTCTCAGCATCTGGGGAAAATTTTACATTTACTTGGCTAGAGAAATCGGTCGTTTGGCGGCGGGGACGGGAAATTGTCTACAGCTGCTTGTGGTTGGGCTTCATCATCGCCATCAGACTCAGTCATCATCGTGTTCGTCGTCATCAGCGTTGACACTTTAAAGTTTTGCAGGAATTTACCGAGGCAAGTTCACGACTCGGTAAACAATTTGCAAGCCATTCCTAAAGAAATTTTACATAATTGTTATTTATTTACAAATTGTATTTACAAATTTCTCTGCAAGAAGGCATTAAAGTTAACGTTAGTTAACGTTAAATATATAAATTAAACTAATATGAATAAATTTATTACATACTATTTATTTCATCACATCTATCCTTACCTTATAAGGCAGTTGAAAACAGGTTTCTTTTGCGGGCCAGCAAGAAGTTATTTTATTTCACGCAAATGAGAAATAGAAACCCATGGTTTTTCGTTTTTATATCAATTTTAATTTTATTCCCTAATAAATTAAAACAGAGTATTATAACCTAATGGCTCCAAAAGTCCTGATACCCGTTCAGCTCACTTGTAACACTTACTTTCTCCTTTATTGCAGTCAAAAGTTCAGCACCATTTCTTTTTGCTCTCCTTTTAGCAACTTTACGCGGCTTCTTTTGGAGCTGTTACACATGATGCCGGGAAAATTGCCAGTTAACCGAGTTAACAAATCCACCCCAAAGGTTTGGTTTCTTTTGTTCGCCGCCGACTCGCTTACCTCATGTTGTTGATTACACTTCGGACGGTCATAAATTTGTATCAGCGAGCAGTGGGGAAAGCTCAGGCAGCAAGTTGGGAAGCTGTATAAAAGGAAAAGTCCGCTGGAGGGTGGAAAAGTTTCTTTTATTTTACCTCTGCGAGTTCGAGTGAAACTTGAGTGCAGTGTGGGGGGCTGTGAAAAAAAAGAAAAACTAGATTCGTGCTTGAATTTTCATTAACTGCTTGTTTATCGAATCGAAATTTGAGCCGTTCGCGGGTATCGCACAACTCAATTGAAAAGATACAGAGGGTGGTACAAAATAAATTCATATATAGTAGGGGGAGTACAACTAGTCTAGTCCTCCTGCTCCTCCTTCTTTCTCCCCTCCAGCTTCCCGTTATTCTTCTGCATCATGTCTTTGATCAATTGCTGAGTCTTGAAATTGAGCACCAAGTCCCTGGTTTCGTTGACCACTGTGAGCAGTTCCTCGAACACATTATCTGAGATTCTCAAATATCTGGCGAACTCTTCTTCCGTTTCAATGCCCCGGAAATTGCGCACAAAGTTCTCCAGGTAGTGCATCAAGTTCATGTGTTGTTCGGCCACCTCCTTGAGTTCCACAGGCTTTGAAGAATGAGGCATGTTAACGGTGTGATTGAAGTTCGTATCCGAACTGGCATTGTGCTGGGTATATGAGCTGTTTTCCTCGGAGGATATGGTAATGTGCTGATTGTCCTCGTACTCGTACTGCTCCTCCTCCTGCTCCTCTTCGGCCAGCATTTCTGGCTCGGACTCGTCGTTGAGATCGGAATGGGATTTCTCATCCCCATCCCCAGTTGTGTTTTGCAGGGCCTCCGCCTCCTTGGCTATCAGCTCCTTAACCCTATCGGCATAGCGTAGGGTATTCAGGGTGTGCTCTACACAGTTCATGGACGGCGATATCATGGCAATCATGCAGAGCTTGTTCTTCTGGCCGCCCATGAAGGAGTCGCGCAGGACCTGGGTCAACTTGGAGCCACGGAAGGGTAGATGACTCGACTGGCGGCTTAAAGCCCGAATGCACTCCTTCAGGGCCAGCAGCGATTTATTGATCTCGGCTCCCTCGATGCGGGTCTGCCGATCGGCAGATTGCGTATCCGCCCCTCGTTCATTGCCCGCCAAATCGACAAAGGAGCACTTGCCGTAGGCGCCCCACGAATTCGGCATATGGAGGGCAATCTGGAAGACGGCATGCGAACGCGATGACTTGGCATTCGCTGAAGTCTGACCCGAGGTGCGCTCCTTGCTGCCGAGTTCAATCAGTCGCAGGACTTCCTCCACCTTGGAAACCGGAATCTCCGTCAGGCCCACAACCACCACCTGCTGTTTGCCATCTTCCAGGACGCGCAGCATGGGTTTATTGGACACAAGGAGATCGAACACCTTGCTGCCGTAAATCTCAAAGAAGCTGCACTTGACCGTGGCTCCAATTTTCTGATACTCCGGTCGAGAAACCTCCGCGAAAATGTCGCGGGCCGCCAAGGCGTAGATCCCAGTGCCGCAATCCTGAATCTTTCCGAAGAACTCACCGCCCATGGTGTGAGTTTTTCCACTGCCCGTTTGGCCATACGCAAAACAGGTGGCATTGCCTCCCTCAAACATGGTCCGTATCAAGGGACGCGCTGTATGATCGTAGACCAGCGAATTGGAGCACTGTTCGTCGAAGGTGTAGTCGAAGCGGAACTTGTGGTGCTCCAGGAACTTGGTGAGGTCCACCTTGAAGCGCAGCTCGTGGACAATCAGGGAATCGCCACTGGGCACCGTGATGATGTCCATGTTCTTGGCGCTCTCCTCCTTTCGACTCATGGGTCGCTTCCGCACACAAACGGTGATTTGCTGGGTCGGCGCTCCATTGGGATTCACACAGCGAAGAGGGGTGAAGTTCAGGGTGGCCCTATACTGACGTAGCATCAAGGACACCTCCCAGTTGGGATTCCCCGGATCCTTGCCACGCAGTGCATGCTTTTCCTGCAGCTGCTCCACCTGGCGAGCCCGGCGCTTCTCCCTTTCGTCCTTCATGCGATTCACCTCCCTCACGACACTCGAACAGCGTTGATTGGGATTAGTGGTCGTATTATTATTGGCTCCCTGGGATCTGCGGTTCTGGATGGGACTGGTATTACGGGGCTTACAGAAGGCCAAGCGAGAGGTGTTTTTTCCCGCCTGATCACTATTTCCCAGGATTTCCGTTTTAGTAGCAGTAACTTTACTGCGTAAGTCCATAGCTCTCATGCGCTCTGCATATGGATTTCCCGCTATCGATTTTCTGTGTGACTCAAGAGGTCCTCGGTTGGGACTCGATTCCCTGAGCTTTGGAATCATAGAGGCCGTCGCCAGGAGAGGTGGTTGTGGTGCATAGCCCGTTGCCTGCGATTGATTTTCAGCAAAAATATGACGATTAATCCCGATCAACAGGGAAATGGGCACCTCTTTGCCCTTGACTACCGTGCCCTCGGTCCACTCGCCGGTTATCAAATCAAGCTCGGGATTCTTGCCCGTGCACACCACCGGATGGATGCGACCGTCACTCCGCTGGAAGAACAGCTGTTCGCCAATCTTGATGCGATCCATATTTCTGGTATCCCGGCGTATCTCAGCAATGTGTGTGCAATTTATAAAAGATGTACTATTTTTGGATTTTTTCTTAGCATAAATATTGGTTCCTTATTTTCCAGTCCACAAGCAAAGTGATGATACAATCTTTCTTCGATCAGATGTTGCCTCTGTAATTTACTGTCGAGTGTGAGGTTTGATAAGCTAATAAATTGGTTGGAATTTTGGGAACATAGAACACATGGCCTACTTTTCATTTAAAACAGGCTCATCTCTTTTAAGATTAACTCAAATATTTTTTTTAAAGAATTTTATTTGAAAATTTAAAAAAAAAACAAGAGAGAACGCTATAGTCGGGTGCCCCGACTATCAGATACCCGTTACTCAGCTAAAGGGAGTTCGAAGGAGATGAAGACAAAAACTTTGATCCGCCGTAACTTTTTAACGAATGGTCCGATTTAAAAAATTTCTTCTACATTTCGATAGGTATTCATAAGCACAATAAAACTGCATTTTTACTTTTCCGAAATATTGAAATTTTTAAAATCGTATATAAGCGATTGTGGGCGTTAGAGGGGGCGTGGCACCCTTTTGAAACAAACTTGCGCTGCGTAGGAACTCCTAGAATCTGCATGCAAAATGTCAATCTTCTAGCTTTTATAGTTTCCGAGATCTCAGCGTTCATACAGACAGACAGACGGACAGACAGACGGACAGACGGACAGACGGACAGACGGACAGACGGACAGACGGACATGGCTAGATCGACTCGGCTAGTGATCCTGATCAAGAATATATATAGTTTATAGGGTCGGAAACGCTTCCTTCTACCTGTTACATACTTTTGCACGAATCTAATATACCCTTTTACTCTACGAGTAACGGGTATAATTAATGGCATTAAATTCATGTGGATTAAACCACTAATAGTTTGATTCTTTCTTTCAAAATATTTACAGGTTGAGCAGACTCAAGTAACCAAATGATTTTAATTATCTTTGAAGGATTTCGGGTGGGCTGCTTGGTTTTCCTATTTTTTTTAACTACTTACTCAGTTCTGCTTGACAACACGGGCTACTCAAACTTAAAGGACGTTCTTAAAGGAGGGTTAGGTGGGTCTACGAACAATTTTATGGTTAACATGTTTGGGGTGTTGGCTCGTAAATTCCTTGCTACCCGGGTTTTTGGGTTAGCAGCTTCTTTTGATATATGGCCCTTGCTCCGTTACGGGTTAGTACTTTTCAAATTAGATTTGGGCACCCCAACCCTCGTCTTTTCTTTCTGTGTGTGTGGGTATGTCATAAAGCGAAACGCAGGACCTTTCTGTATTTACACAAGCGTGCGCATTCCACAAATAAATAGCTGAGGCAGCTCTCGGTCGGTTGTCTAGACTTGTGATTGGAGGACAATTAAAATACACACATCTGCTGAGGGGAAGTCGGAAGAGACCCTCGGAGGGATCAAACAACATGCTGTTCCCAGTCGGTCAGGTGTAAAAACTAATTTACGGACATAGCAATCCCAGAAAACCGCAAACGAAACCTCAAGGTGAAAGGTTTACTAACCGAAATGTGTGCTGTCCTTCTGCTGGTCCAGTTTCTCTATCAGTTTTCCTATCAGTTACTGGGTCAGCATGGGGTATATGGACCATAAATCTCGTGGCTGCTGCAATCAGGCAGCCTGCAATCGCAATCTGCATCAGAAATCAAAAATCAGCGAGCAGTTGGCAGTGCCAACTTGTCAGGGCCAAATAGATAGAGATGGCGGCCAAACTGGAAATGGCGTCAAGGGCGCCATAAATGAGAATTTCCGTTTCATTTCCGTCCGCTTGTTTGCGATTGTGTGTGTGTGTGTGGTTCTATGCGGTTCATTTGTGGCCCATAATGAGCAGGGAAAGCGCCGTGGCTCTGTATCGATTTTCGTTTAAAGTGCCAGCAAGTGGACCACCTAATGGCATTTGGTGTCCCGAATTTATGGCAACTTGACCTCGGCCATTTGTCAGCATTAGAACACAATTGGACAACAGGACCAGTGTTGCAGTCAAGGTTGCAGCCCATAAATGGGATAGCTGCCAATACATATAAGTAAACTTACACCGAACCACAAACAATTCACTTAAATTCAGCCTTAGTCCTAGGAAATACCAACCCATCCAGGGAATATTTATGGCAACTCGAGGTGGAGAGAAAGACACATAAATTTGTTTGCTCCCGACGCGATAAGCGGCAAAAACATGTTGATACAGACCACTGAGAAATAAAATATGTCGCCAGAATGGAGACCAGGATGCGGAGCGCCAAGATTTATGCCGAAATAATCGCTGGCGGCCATAAATTATAGCCAGCAGCTAGGCAAAAGTCTCCGATTCATCGATTTTCCATCGAGATGTCAGTCACAAAACAAACACTGTTCTACTAAAAGATGTTATAAAACACACGCACACACACACACGGGTCACATACACTAACCTTTAAATTAGGCAGACAGGAAATAGCGCGGTAAATTTAGCAGGATGTTCTCAGGCAATATGCCCATGATGCAGCACACTCGAAGGGGCACTGGACCCGCGAGTGAGGAGCAACGGTATGTATTTACATAACTGTTAAGTTCTCATATATGTTATAAACATATATGTATATTAATTCTCTTTTCCCTAGGTTTAGCAGTATTATATCCGATTCTCAGAATGGCTCAATCAGATCATCTCAATGCAAAATGCAATTCCTATCTCGGTGAGAATAAATTGAAATGCTTATTACACTGAAAAGAAAAAACAATCTTTTTTCATTATTACTTTACTTTTACTTTTAATACTTTGATAAATTACTTTAAATTTTTAAACTTTTAATAAAATATATAAATGTATAATATACATTACTAACTGACAACTAAAAAAAAGTATCCCACCTTATAATTCGTTTAATTTATTTCTTATATTTTTTAATCGATTTTACAAGGCTATCTATTTCAACTCAAACCCCACTTTAAAGTTTTTAAATTCATCTTCATAAAAAACTATGTTAAGCATGTTATGCATTACTACCAATCTTAGTACTTGGATGCTCCTGCTGGACTACAAACAATACAAAGCAGCCCGAGTTATCCAACAAAACTGGCGGAAGTTCTTCTACCGGAAAATGTTCCAAGACAAAAGGAAGGCGGCCATAACGATTCAGCGTTGGTGGCGCGGATTCTCGGCCAGAAACAATCACTATCGTTTTGTGGAGAATCTGTTGCAGAAGCGGCTGGAGGATCACTACCACAGATCAGCCACTAAGATCCAAGCTTTGTTCCGAGGTTGGTGGAGTCGCCACACGATCCATGACAACAGCAAGTTGCTCAGGTTGCAGGTCTGTGCTGCAGAGGATCTCCTAAACTGCGTGGCCTTCAAATTGCATCACCTGCTGCGCACCTACGCAATTCCCGGCGTCTATTCGCTGAAGAACTCCAAGTGAGCATATATACCCCTTAAAAATATTCGCTTACATTTTAGAAATTTGCCATTAACATTCAATTTTTTAATTTTTAATTTTTAAAAGCTAGTTCTAACAAATAGTAGAGTGGAATTAGAGCCCTGCATGAATCATTCAATTTTTGTTTTATTATAGTATGCCATGAAATTTCTGATTTGTTTAATTCAATTCTATGTGAAATAAATTGAATGTTGTTCTAATTCATTTCGAATTGAATGAATTATTTTATGAATTTTTTGAATTTTTCAGATTTTTTTTCTGTTTTCTTTTGAGAACAAAAAGTGGAAAATTTTTAACAAATCAATGTTAACTGCATAGTAAATAAAATTCAGGCAGATTTAATCACAAAATTATGGCCCTTTCTTCTTCAAAATAAATTGTCGTTTGAATTATTTCGGAATTCATGCCATTCATTCATTCAATTCTATTAAACTCAAAATTCAAATTCATTCAATTCTATTAAACTCCAAAATTCTAATTAATTCATTCATATAACAAAAAAAATTCAAAATAATTCATTGGATCCATTCATGCAGGGCTCTAAGTGGAATACAACATTTTTTTTTATTTTAAGTTTAGAAAAATTGTTTTTGAAGGGATTTCTTATTTTTGAATGAATATTATTGAAATTTCTTCAACAGTTGCTTGTCGCGCATAGAGAAACTGCTGGCCAGCTTGCATTTTCGGTTTCACAATGGCAAAGAGAAGTTACAAATTGCGAAAAATCTGGCAGCTAGAAAAAAGGATCGGCAAATTTTTAAGAAAAGTGATAGGATAACCGATATTCCGTTCAAGGGAGCGCGATATTGGAGCCAGTGCAAGCCAAAGTGCGAGGCCGCCTTGAAATTGTCCAAGGACATTGACAAACGCATGTTCCGTATCATTGAAATGTACGATGCTTCACAGAGGGATGCGCATGCGGCGTTGGTCCAAAAGAAAGCAGCGTACAGTAAGTTTAAATTAATATTTAATACCCTTTATATTATCTAAAAATACATGTCTAAATTTTACAGAGAAGCAAAAGCAGCTTATGACTAATATTAAGAAGTCGGCGGAGAGGAATAAGCGCGATTTTTGCGGCGATGTCATTGCCAGCATGCGTCGCTGGAAAATTCTAGTGGACAACAATTTGAATGTGGACAAGGACATTTTTAGAAATCCGGAAAATCTAGAAAAATTCCTCGCTGAAATATCGGATTATGGAAATGAGTTCAAGAACTGCACCTGCTACTGCCGCATTCCCGTACTAACCGAAATCTATTGCGGCTAAACATTAACACTATCCGTAAACCACTATGAAAATAAAATAAAAAACGTTAAATAATTTATACTACAATTTATTTGGTAAATTGGTGAACCTTTTCAGGTGATACATCGGTTGACTACGGATAAACGGGGATTCTTGTATAGCTTTTCAACTGAAGATCGCATTGAATATGTCGACTGCAAAAAAAGGTATAATAATTGGATGCACTATATCTTAGTTTCTTTTTTTTCTCACCAAAAACATTGCCAAAAAATCGCAGCAGAGCGGTGACGAACGAGGGCCTTTGCAAATCCGTCCAGTTATCCGTCATTTGATCTGTTTCGCCATTTTTATTATTATTTGGGTATTAAACTATCTCAAGCTCTAACTTACCCAAATGCTCGCAATCTAATCGCTCGTTGTTCAAGTTGAAGTTGATATCGCCGCCTATGGGCGGGGCCACAGTCTCTTCAAGATCATTAAGATCTGGATCCGCCATAGTGCACTTAAAATTTTCGTTTAAACCAATATCATTTCCAACTAAAAATTTGGAATAAACTTATTTTACTTATTTTAATGCCTGTTTGAAATGTGTTTAGCACAGCTATGATTTTAATTTGGAATGTTGGGTAAAGAAAATCGGAAAGGCTTATCAAGGTTTACTTGGTTCGATTTACAATTTGTAATTTCAAGAAATTTTTATTGAAGATAATTATTTTTTATTAGGTCAATTTAAAACACAGGTCAACAAAATGGACTTTATTAAAAGGTGCAGGCTTATTGGCATTAAAACATGTTAATATAGACGTATATAAGCATATCTGCATACTTAGTTTTTGCGTTTAACGGGTGGTATTTGGGCAATCGCGGTTTGAAAAAAATAGCAACATTTAATTTTTTGATTTAAGATATCTTCGAGGGTCTGTGCTCAGTTGTAATAATACCTATGCCAAAAAATTGATTAGATGCCCTTCTACATTATTGCACTTAAGGTTCCATCATAATTTGAGTCAATCACAGCCTATGAGCCACACCCAGAAAAAAAAATGACCTAAAATGTCAAAAAATGGCCTAGAATTTAGGTAAAACTGGCCTAAAACTGGAGCTAAGTCCTTGAATGGCCTAAAATTTAGGATTGTATGACCTAAAATGTTAGGCCATTAATGGCCTAAAATGGGGTAATTTTTGGCCTAGATTTTAGGTAATTGGATGCCTTAAAATATGAGAAAACCCCTATCCAAAATTTTAGGCTTTCTTTGGCCTAAAACTTTGTACTGAAAAATGTTTCAAATTATAAAGTAAATACAGAGGTATTTATAGCTAACTCGGGGTCAATGTCGGCTTAGTCTTCAAGAAGTCGTCATTATTCCAACACACAAAAACGAGCGAAGAGGCTTCACTGTTCAGCAGTGAAATCGCTGTTTTATTCAAGGATCGAAGTGGGTTACCATGCAAGCCGCGCTATAACTGGTTGGGAATTATAGCGTCGCTAGAACGGTATCAGAGTTCCGTGCAAATTTATTTAGGTAAAATGCATTAATTTTAAGGCCCACGATGACCTAAAATATTAGGCAAAACGGGACCTAAATAGTAGGGCAAATATACCAAAAATTTAAATTTTTAGGCAGTACATGACCTAAAAAGGAACTTTTAGTCCATTTAAAATGTTTTAGGCTATGCATGACCAAAAATGTTGTCCATCATTTTTTTGGGTGCATTGAAGTAATTTGTTCACCTCTATTCCCAACCAACTTAATGCGGTGAACACGCTTAAAAAAATCCAAGGAAAAATATATGCCCTAAAATATTTTACAGGCATCTAGAGGCGTCTTTCACCGAATTTTTAAGACAAATAAGACCATTGTACGTCGAAGGATGGAATTTATAGAATTTTTTCCGTAAGAACTTAAAAAGTAACAACTATTTTTAAATCCCATTTTACATAAATATCTGACACATTCGTAAAAATGTGCCTTTCAATTTGGTTAGCAGTAGGCGCCGAACATAGACAAATTATATTTTTAAGGGGTTAATATGCCTTAAAAAAAATCCCCACCACAATTTTAAGGCGACGCCACTGTTATCTTTAAAAAGCCTACTGTGTAAAATCACGACAAACTCGTTACGTAATAGTGACTCTAAAATACTTGTTACTTTTCCCATTCTTACGGAAAAAATTCTATAAATTCCATTTTTTGAAGTACAATAGTGTGATTTATCTCAAAAATTCGGGAAAAGACGCCTCTAGATGCATGTAACATATTTTAGGGCACATATTTTTCCTTGTATTTTTTTAAGCGTGTTCACCGCATTAAGTTGGTTGGGAATAGAGGTGAACAAATTACTTTAATGGCTCATAGGCTTTTATTAACTCAAATAATGATGGAACCTTAAATGCAATTATGTAGAAGGGCATCTAAGCAATTTTTTGGCATAGGTTTTATTACAACTGAGCACAGACCCTCGAAGATATCTTAAATGAAAATATAAAATGTTGCTACTTTTTTCAAACCGCGATTGCACAAATACCACCCGTTAAACTCGAAAACTAAGTATGCAGATATGCTTATATCCGTCTATATTAACACAATTTAATGCCCATAGGGCTGCACCAAAAACACTGTTGGCCTGTGTAATTAAGATTTTTAAAATTCATCAAAGTTTTCCCTTGACATTATAAATAACTATAAAAAGTTATTTAACCACACAATATTTTTCGTTGCACCGCTTAAATTCGTCCAGACCTTTTCAAAAACAACGTAATATCAGGTGTGCGCATTCAAAGACACGAAACATGCAATTTACCCCTCGAAACTTTTACCTCCTGACACAGCTGCGAATTACGAGCCAAGTGTACGATTTATGCTGTAAACTTTTCAAGGCGAAAAACATTAGGCATCCGGAGAGGGAAAACATGCAAATATTGTACAGACCGAATGGAAAAGCCGAATGTGAATGGGGATTTTCTCGGAACCTGTCCCTGAACGAGCATAAATTAAGAGGCCAGTTGCCGTTGCTTTTAATTAGACACTAAAACTGGGCCTCGCCTGACCAAAGGCCAATGGCCAATGGCCGGGGGTTCTCTTTCTGGCCAGGACATCAAAACAGAGCCCGAAACAGCAGGAGACTTTGGTAATTGTACGGCTGCTGGCCCATCGCCTCATCGCCACATCGTCATCTCCATAATAATCACCATCCTCAGATATGCAATTAGAGGACAAACGAAAAATGTGTCTTGGTCAGGCGCTGTCATCGCTGCCCTGGGACAAATACATATTTCCCAGACTCGCAGACTCACGAATATATATATGTACAACGAAATTAACCATATTCATCAAGCCCACAACTAAATGCAACATTTTTGGCCGCTAATGACGAGCCGTTGTCGTCGACTTGAATGGCAACTTGTATTGCCCCAGGGCCAGGTTCACTCGGTTAATTACTTATGGTGATGCCCTCCCCCGATCCTTTGTGGTCAGTTTCCACGAGGCCTTGGACGTCTTTGGTTGCCTTTTCTCTCTCTGGGCAATGAATTTCGTTTATTTTGCGGTTGACATGTCTCTCGACATGTTCCACTGGCATTATTATAATGAAGCTCATTCTAACCAACAGGTGAAATGTCAGTTCTTTGGCATTTAAGTCATATGTACTTTAAGAATTTTAGTTTATTAAATTATTTTCAAACTGAGTGTAATTTAAAAATCACCAACTCTTCCAACGTAATTATAAATGTATTTTATTATCAGTGTAATAAATTATTTTTTAAATGAGTGTAAAAGTCATTTAAAATATCGAATTAATTTCTAAAAACTCTTTAAAAGTAATTTAAAATATTTATAATATTTTAACCGAATATTAATAATTTAACATATTTATACTTACTTATACTTATTGTAAAAAATTCTTAAAGTCTATTAAAAAAATTAAGTTTCCTTAATTCTAAATTTTTTTTTCAAATAATTTAGCCATATATTTTATTCGCATATCAAACTTATAATGCCCCAGATCAATGCTAAAAGCAAAGACATCTGAAATAAGGGCTACAAAAAATATTAGACTAGTTTAAGCTTATTAAAACTTTCCGACTAATTTATAAAAACATTTGGCAGAGCTAACGAAACTTTTCGTTTTCTGTTGTTTTTCACTCTCTGGTTTTCCAGCTGTGTGCAAGCTTTTCGGGGAAAATCTCAAGCCGCTTTTCCAACATTAGGAAAGCGGAGAGGCAGAGGGGGTTGAGTTAAGCCTTCGAAATGATGTAACCACACCGAAATGGATTCCTAAAAATAAAAGTTGCATTGCCAGCAAAATTTCACTTTCAGTTCAGTTTTAATGCATTGTGTGTGGCCCTTGGTCCGCAAAAAATTCGGGGTTTTCCGCTTCTTGATTAAATGTGTTAAGAGCCACGAGTTGTCCAACTTTTAGCTGGCCAAGATAAATAGTTGCACGACAGTTCTTCGGCCTTGCTTAATTTATACACAATTAATTTATAGTTTTTCTGAGGAAACTCTTTCCAAATTTCTAGAAAGTTTATAATAATAACAGCCTTTGATAAAATTGAAACCTTAGGTTGGCAGCTCATTTAATGGCCGTCCTTCTAATGAGCTTTTCAGCAGAATTCTCAGGCGTTTACACATGTCTATGACCCTTTTCCAGGGGTGGAATGTGGGGATTTGGGAGGTGGGCCTGCTCTGCAACCGCAACACAAGGCGTTTCAAATGTTTCCTTTCAAATTAATTAGAAGTTTGCGGTGAGCAAAGCAAAGCGGAGCCAACTTGCCTGCTTGCCCTTTCGGCGATGGCAGTCATTCATGGACATCATCATCATCATCATTTTGCTCCTTATGCTCATTGATGGCAACCGAGTAGGCCACAAAATGGTTTTTGGCCAACAATGAAATCTGAGTTCTAATTGCCGGCACACAAACATATAATTAACTAAATAATGAGATGAGTGGGAAAAGGGGAGGCGGGGATGAAAATGGGGCTTGTATTTGTATCTTAGCCATTTGGCTGCTGTTAACGGCATCCGTAATTACCTTTGATATGCTCAGCCACACTTGCGGGAGTCGGGGTTTTTCAATTAATGTTGGCAAATGTCTTTCCGCAGGTTCTACACTTTGTTTGGCTTTGCAAAACTTTTTTAATTTATTGGCCATAAATTCAACAGCGCTTGGCCATCATCGGCACCTGCCCGAAACAGTTAAGGTAAATGAACAAACGCACGAACAGAGAGTGAAACATATTTCTTTTGTTCGAGCTTTCAGTTGAATAACATTTGTCTTAACTTCCTTGTCAAAACGAAGGGAAAATGTTTTTGATTACATTTTATTTACAAATGTTTACATTTATGTGAAAACTATTAATTAGAAGCTTAAAACTTGTAATAAAAATATTTACAAAATATTCACACATTTACTTTTAGTCCTGAACTGAAATGTTTACATGTCTAAAACAAGTTGCTTTAAACAACTAATATTTGGGTAATCAAGTATGAAATTTATATAGAAAATATTATTTAATATTAAATTTTTAAACTCATTTATAAAATAAGATAATGATCGGTTACCAACTAACTTCATTTACAAAATATTTAAAGGTACTCAA